TTCTAAATGCTGTTGCGTATAAAAAGAAAAGTGCTTGACTCCTATTTTGTCACCTTCATCATAATCAGAAATAACTCTTTTGGTTTCAGTTTCTGTATCAAGTCAAATACCGTTCTCCCAACGAGGTCTCGCAAAAGGATGTTCAGTTCGTTTTTCAGCCCACAGAAAAAGATCATATTACCTGAAGTGTTGGGGAAAGTCATATTGGAGTGGAAGGTCTTCATCTGGTCTGTTAACAGAGGAGGATCATATTTTAGTTTCAACTTTTAGAAAATAATATAGCGTTTTTAACAGTTTTCAAATTTCAAATTATAAAGAGATTTCGATGAGATCCGCTGTTTTTTCAAGACGAAGAATAATTAGGTCGAAAGCGACAATTCGCATTTTCTCAAAAAAGTGACAAATCGAACTAGCGAAAAAAGAAGGGTTTAAATGGTATACCGCAATCGGGCTGATACGGGTTGCGAGCTTGACAAAACCGAGACAAGAGCTGCTTACGAAAACGACTCGTGGTTGTCGGCACCAGGCACCGACTCCCGCGTTGCGCAAACAACGCTGGACTACTGGAAAAAAATTTGATCTACTATTTGTTCCGACTTTCGATACAGAAGTAACAGAATATTTGTGCTCGGGTGGGTTTTTTTTTCTTCGGACAAATTTCGACTTAAACTAGCAATTTTTCACGGAACTTTTTTATATCACGCAAAAGGTATTGTTGTCCTGAGCTTAAATTTGAAAAGATATCTCACCTGTGATCGTTTTTTGCAACGTTATGGGGGTTTAAAGATTGGCATTTTGGCCAATTTGGGACAATTAACGCGCGATATATTTCGCGCTATTAACGCGTAAGCGGAGATTTAATCCGTCTTAGAAATTGTTCCAAATTGGTTGAACGAAGCTTAATTGCCGTAATTGATGTGTTACTAGAAACGAAATTTATGACTTTGTACTTTAAATGGCGTGTGGGGGGATGATTTTCACAAAACATCTCAAATTTTTTTTTGAAATTTTTTTTCAATTTATTTTTTTTTTTTACATTTTGTTTTTTCATGATATTACTGCTTCATAGACCTTAAAAGGCAGTCGGAACTTTCAGGGCTTCGCCCTGATACGAGCAGTCTTGTTTCCCTTATGGTGATAATTGTTCCTTTTTCATAACACTACTAAAAGTCGCTTTCGACAAATTGTCGCCTCGCCCTTGTAATGATTTAAAGATTTTTTATTTTTTTCCCGATGAACAGGAATCTTGTTGTTTCTTATGCACTATAAAATCGCATGCACTCACCATCCAAGGTCCTTACACTATAAATGTTAACAATTCAAAAAGTCTACCTACCCCAGAATTTGTACCCGATCTTGCAGTTTTTGAGCTACTAAAACTCAATTTCAGAAAACGGAATAATTCTGCTCGGTGTGCTTTTTTTATTTTGTCATTTTTCGGAAATCAAAATAACAGTTTTTAACAAAAAAAACTTTATATCCCGTTAAAGATGTCGCCTTCCTCAAAAAAGATATTTTGGATCAAGTTAACACCCCCCCCCCCCCCCCCCCTAACAGACCAAGTTAAGATCCTCCACCCCAGCGCTTAATTTAAATTAAATTTGCGAAGCGCTGCATGTAAAATGTTCGATTCTGATTGGCTGCAAATTCCCAACTTAGAACCAAGTTAACATCCTCCCCCCCTAAACGTGTGTAGGGCGGAGGATAATAATTTGGTCCGATATTTTACCTCCGATCATTCCATGGAAACTTCTGGGAGTTTGAAAACTGCCAATTTATGGACTAATTTATTTGCGACTGGAACAGTTTATTCATAATGCTGAAATCTTAACGCGAATATTTTATGCGTGGCAAAACATCAGGCACAACCAAAGCGTTCCAAATTGAATTGAGGCTTTAGCTAATCGATCGTATTAGTTTCGTATCGCTCAAGTTTTCACACTTGATCTTCGATCTACTGTCCAAAACTTATAGATTTTCAGTTTTTTCTTTTCCCAAAAACTATTCGATAGAGACTAAAGGACATAGTCGGAACATTCAGGGCTTTGTCCTGATTTACGAGCAGTCTTGTTTTTCACATTACACGTGGCGAATTATCCCGCATTACAAAATCGTTCCAATTTTGAGTCAGGAAGCTAATTGCTTTTTGTTAGTTCCATACCTGACTTAAGAATTAACACTTAAGATTTGTTATCATCAACTTTAAGTTCATAGTTTTGCCCAGGGGTGGATCTAGGATTTTCTGGAGGGGGGACGCGGCTTTTCAAAAATTTTGACGACCCTTTTTTTAGTCAGGTCGACAAAATTGATTTTCCGAGCTTTCCCAAAACAGTAAAAACACCCTGTTTTCCGCCAAAATTTCTGCGCCGCGGGCAGAATTTTCAAAAAAAAACAGGTCAAAAAGCCGTTTTGCAACATTTTGACAAAAAAAATGAGTTTTTTGGCGCGCACTCCCCCTCAAAGTTAGTATATATTGGCGCCAAAGGCGCCTTTAGAAAAATTTTAGGTTCGGTTGGCTAAAAATGAATTTCTTAAAAAGTACCAAAGGGGGTACCTTTTCCCTTTGGGTCGACGGGGGGTCGAATTCCTGAGAGAAGGCGTCCAACCCCCCCCCCCCCCCCTAAATCCGCCCCTGGTTTTGCCAATATTTAGTTTATCATAAACTATTCGAGACCACTCAAATGGCAGTCGGAACTTTCAGGGTTTTGCTCTGATACGAAAATTCTTGTTTAATTCATGCTTACCCGAGAAGTTTGATCTACTGTTTACGATAGATAACTTTGTCAACAATTGCCCTCACTCAGCAAAAAACGGGAAAAAATTGGAGTATTTTGGGTTAGTGTCAGTGATGTCCAGGTTGGGCATTAGTTTAAGCATTTGTTGAACCAGATGGTTCAAAAAATGGTGTGAAAAACCAATTTTACTAATAGATCAATCCGATTTGGTTAAACGAAGCTCTTATTTACCAAAATAGTTTGGCTTCTAAATTAAAAATTAGGAGATTCAACTTACATCTCAGAAAGATCAAGTATTTACCCAATTTTTCACGCCACTCACTGAATTGTTTTTGCTCATCTTTACTGAACAATAAGTAGCGCTTGTGGCATATTAGTACACTTTGCTGGTAGCGTCCACAAAAAGTTATGTGTCTCATGTTCTAAGACTTTTATCATTTACAATGAGTAAAGAAAAATTTCATTTAGTTTTATCCTGAGAGGGAGACTAGAGTAAACCAAATGGTTTTAAGTTTTTTGTGACGATTGGTTCAGAAAAAGATTGAAAATTGTGAAGTCGAAACAAACCACTGATAAGTGCAGATGATGCTTTCCTTTGATGTTTTGAGGGACATGTTTCCTTTGGAAGCAATTAAAAAAACGATGTTGCAACTAGTTGTTTATCACAGCTTTACCATTACTTTTCAAGATTTTCTTTTTAAATATCATGAAAAAACATTTATGCTGGATATTAAAAAATAGGGTTTTATTGCTAACTTTTATTTCAACCTTTGCAATGAACAGGAAATACTAAGCTTACTAAAACGCTTGCTAAAGCTTGCTAAAACGAAAACGCAAGTGATGATAATGCTTTTTGAATACTTTTCCACGTTTCAAAAATGAAATATTAGTTCAATTTTACCAAGCAAAAATTGGTTTTTAAAGCAATTTGTAGTCAAAATGAGCTCATTTTTCTACTCTTAGGTCAAGTTTCTGACTTTCAATTCGCAAAATCCAACACATAATTTTATAGCAAAAAAATTATAATCTGAAACATTTGGTTACACAGAAGCGAAGCTGCGCTTCGCAAACAATTGCGAGAACACGACCAAAAAGCATTTCTATCAAGTGAAATAATAAAAAAATAGAAAGAAGTCTCGAACTAGTAAAAAATCAGCTACGTTTCGGATTCGAAACTGCGACCTAGCAAAATTGAGTCTCATGCACTAACCACTGAGAGCCACGGATGCTTAAAATCCACCAATATCACAGCTAAAAATGCTAATAAATTGCCAATTAGATGCAGCAAAGTAGTACTAAATACACAAAGACACCGTTTTGCATATAATAAATTGAAAAACATGAAGCCAAGTTGGGTATAAATTATGCATTTTAAAAAAATTGCGAAATATATTGAGTTGGAAAAATTCTGAAATCGAGTTTTTTATCATTGTACTGCTGTTTGAAACGTATAAATTTTCCGGTTCATTTAATGAATTGAAACTGCATCAGCTGTGTTAACTTTTTACTAATCAAATGTCAAATCACATTTGATATAATACTGCTACCGCAGCCTAACGATTCAAAAGTGCCACCAAAAGTAGCAATTTTATTTGCAACTTAGGTTGGAAAAAAAGAAAATTTATACTGATACACTTTGCTTTATAAGTGTAAATAAATTCTGCTAAATTTAGTGTAATTTAACTGAAGTTTTACGTAAAATCAAGTTTTACTATTGAATAGAAAGCTTTTAAGGCCTGTTTTAAATATTTTTTTGAATATTTTTTGTCTCCGATAGCAACCTGGAGGGCTGTTCAAAAATTACAAGGAGAAGGAGGGAATTATTGGTCTCTAAAAAATAAGGTCCTTGAATTTTTAAAATTTACAGTACCAAAAATTTTTTTTCCTGAAATATTATTTTGAAAAATTAAAAAGTTTCTACTTCATTTCAAGCAAACTAAAGACAAGGGTTAAGCCAAATTACCCAACACGTAAAGTCAGCTCAACGCAATCATGAAAAAAATTGATCCATCCAAAAATCAACTTGACGCCTTTGCTATCGATTTATCATAAACTAGTCCTTAACATTCCTTTTCTGGCTTGGTTGAGGATAAACAATATATACCAAGCAAAATCCTGGAGATCAGAGTTCATCATGACGTCACATCAGTTGTCAATTTACCTTTCAATTTTGGTCTCAGTTAAGTGTTAATTGGCCATCTCTTCTTTTTCTCCACTGAGGAATTATAGTGTCCCCAAACGGTGATGTGTCTGAATTAATCTTACCTGACAACTCTCCAGTTTTTTAGAGAGGGACTTCTTCAGCCGTTTAATCATCTTTGAGGGCGCTTATTCTCATTCAAATCAAGTATAAAACCGTAACAAATTGACGTAAAGGGAAGTATAGTTTGATGTTTTTGAGCGTAATGGTGAAAATAGCCGTCAGTTAAAGCTCATTTCCCATAGGTGAAGAGGGAAGTTAAAGTAAATTTTTAAATGTTAAATACACTTGGATGACAAATCTGATGTCATAGCAAAAAAAGGTAATAAATCATGACAATCATGCCAAAATTCAATTTTAAGATTTGCTTTCAGAAGAATCGGAATCGAAAATCACTTTTGAATGTATTCCCAAACAAATGGCACAATGAATGAGATATAAGTAAAGAAAAATCATGAGATATATATTTTTTCGTTGTCTGACCGATTGCCTAGTGAAAGGCTTTAAAAACTTCTGGGCTGATTTTGAAGGCAATTAGTTAACGCCTTTCTCTTCTCTGTTGTTCCCAAGACACTTAACTGTCTAGTTAAGATTCCGTGCACTAGCCTTGTTTAGATTCTGGAATGGTTAGTGGTGAAAATAAACAACAAGGGTAGAAAATGAGTAGAAATAAGCCCGGCCAGGTATTGTTTTATCCCAGACTTTTTGCCAGTTCGTTTTTCTCTTGCATGTTTTGCTTCCCGCAGTAAAAATCTTAAAAGTTTGTTTTATTCCTGCAGGTTTTTTTTTCAGTTCTCCGCAAAATTCATAAAAGCTCGAAAAAAAGCTCGCAAACTCTGATTAAAGTAACAAAATTTTTTTTTCTTTTTTTCCCAGATTGTAAATTCAAACAAGTAAAGATGCTCAACGGATGATGGCAACTTCTGAAGGTTGAGCACGGCTAGTACTATAAGTGTCAAAATTTGGTCGGAAGCAAGGTTGTCAAGGGCTCTCCATGGGACGGCGGAAATAATTCACGCGTCTTTTCAGCCCCCGGCCAAATTCTTGTTGAAAAGTTAATACTGGTAATAACCACTGAAGTGAAATTAACTCAAGCGCGCTGATAACAGCAGATCAAAGTTAATTTCAATAAAGATGCGCCAAAAAGTTCGGTACTCAAAATTGCCACGGGTTATATTTTGTTATCTCAAATTAGATGCCTGTAATTCAAAAAATTTGATGGCATTTGAGATAAATTTACCATAATTGGCTTGAGCGTGGTGGTGTAATTTTTTTCTTCTTTCCGCTTGATTTGTGAAGCTGCCAATTTTGAGATAATTGTGAACGAAGCTGAAGTTCACTTTAACGTGTAGCATGAAGATATGATGAAGATATCCACTGGAGCCAATGATGAAGATATCTGCTGAACAGAACTCGTTGAAATAAATGGGTGCGATTAGGTTTTCCCGTTGTCAAATCATACCATTGTGTTTGTTCACATGGCTGCGAGTAGAAATAAAGGAACAACTGTCACCGTCTTAGCTCATCGTTCCCAAATGGCCCTTTATGGTGGCTGATTATACTAACATAGCTAAAAACGCAGTTATTTGAGGAAAAGTAAATAATAAGAACTAGGTGCATATAATGAGATTCAAAAATAATGCAAAATAACAACAATAACTGACATTTCACTAACACTAACAATTCATGTACGGTACGAGCATAAACTCAGGAGGGAAAAGGGAGGGGCATATATAGTTGTTCAGGGATTTTTTCAATCGGCTCTAGATTTTTGAGGGCTTTTTTGCAATTATCGTATCAAATGAGACGCTACGAATTGTACCGGGCAATGATGGGCAGTGAAGGGGGAAAAGTAGCTTTATGAGGGCGAGGAGGTGGATTGAGGAGCCATCGAAGGGCATGGATAATGTTGATGAGGTAAATAAAACAAACAAGGACATACAAGGTGCGCTCAGTATGAAAATAACTGTAAGTTGGAATAAGAATGAGACCATTTGTTTTATTTGGTATATTTCAACTGGAATATTAGTGAGAGGAAAAGAGTGAGCTAAAAAACAACAAAGCTGCTTAATGAACCAATCTAAAGGTGATCGGTTGCCGCTTGCCTTTTGTACTTGCCGACAGCCAGTTATAACTCAAAACAATTATTGCATCTGTGTGTTCATGTGTGTGCAAAAGCTGACCAAAAAATGGAAAACAATTTGTGCTTCCTTGCCAATTCGGTCCAATTTAGACCTACCATCGTAAATGGTAATCCTTCAATCGAATCAGGTAGTTAAGCAATGCAGGCATTAAGAGCTTTTCCTTTTTTGTGGAAGTCTTGTTGTGGCTAAAATAGCATAAAAATAAAAAGGAAATAAAAGAAAGAAAAATCATTCTAGATCGCGTCATACATTTTTGTAGTCTTTCAAAATAATGGCAATTGAAATTTAAGACAAAATATTTTTGATTTTGCGAATGAAAATACACATTCTGCGTGCTAACAAGTCTTATTTTTTCCGCTCATGTACAACAAAAGAAAAACAACTGTTGAAGAACAAGTGATGATTTCAAAAAAATCAAAAAAGGAGAAAAATCGAATATTCTTCTTCATGTTTTTTCTGTTTTCACCTTTTATACCCTCAGCTTCTATCTCTTCGTGTCAAATCTTCACAGTTCAGTGTCTTAGAACTGAACTGTTTTTCGCTGGTGTCCCACTGCTGATAACAGCACCCTTTAATTGCAAAATTACCTCAAAAGCCTCTGGCAAAACCAATTTCCTATTCCTGTGAGGATTATCTAACGGGGCGCTAAATTATGCATAAACGTAGGAGGTTGAGTGTAAAAAGTGAAGGCATCGATGTGCTTTTGTGTCAAAAAAGTTGATGCAGGTAATTTTTTTTATATCTCATCACAGCTTTTATGAGTTTCACCTTTCTTTGAATTGATGGCATGAAAATCAGAGAGCAAACAAACCACCATTAAAGTGCACGTCTTACCATTTCAGACCAGTTGTTCATGAGAGGAACACTGAAATCAGTTTGTATTCACAAATATTTACTTTCACTGAATATCATAAAGTGAAAAATAAACAGACCAAATCAGCGAAAAAAATTTACAACCACCTGAAATTGCAGCTGAAATGGTTCAGAAAAATCAAGATGGGAGGGTTAAAACATATATATCATTGGTGATGAAAAAAAAACGATTCACCTGAGAAAAAAAAACAATAATTTGCATCAAATACCAGAACGGAAACAACCAAATTCGTGTAAAGGAAAAGCAGGGATTTAAACTGCAATAAAAACCAGATTAATATGGATTTTTAAATTGGAAGCAAGGGAAGCTAGCTGTTTTTGTTTTAATAAATTGGACGCACTTTTAGTGCCCACAAGTCGCAGAAGGCTGGCATCGGGTACCCTGGGTAACTAAATGGAGAGGAGGTCATCTATAAACTATATGGTACAAACTCAAGACACAATTTGCTCATGTATAAATATTGCTTGATGGTAAGCATTAGCTTATAATAAGGGTTTATAGTTCGTAAAACGGATCAGCAAACTTAATCTCTTATTGAAAATACTCAAAATAACAGTAAAAAATGTACAAGCTAAATAATCTACCTTGGAAATGCTTCAAAAAATAACATTACAATAAATCGTTTTTCAGATACAGAAGATAAGGAAATGATTGATTGCACACAAAATTTTGCTCTCTGGATATATTTCATTATGCAATATAATAAAAAACAAAGATGTATGCTTTCAGATTTAGCAACCTCAAAAATGCAAAAAAAAACGGATTCTTTTTTTTGCATTTTGAGCGATTTTGAGGGACAAGAAGGAGTACAGATTGGCAGTAAATACTTGGAAGATAGAGAAAGATGCAAGCTACTCTTCACGTTTTTTCTCTCTCAGTCTTGATTTGTTGATTTGTTTGAGTAAAACGCATATCAACCTAGACTAAAGAGTCAACAATTTGGACCGTTTCTGCTCAAAACTGGCTAAGTTACTATTATTTTTTCTGTGACCTTGAATCGTAAATGAGAGCACTTTAACTGCACCTCGAATCATATTCTTATATTTAGGAAAAACATTTGGATCTAGTGTTAATTACACAGTCAGGCTAGCACAACTCCAAATCAAACTGGACAAGAGCAAAGCCAAACAAAGATAGCTGGTTCCCGTGCAAGTAGCGCAGAAGGTTTTCGACCACAGATTTAAACAATTTTTGCTTAAAATTTGTGTTTTTTTTAGGACGCGAGAATTTTTTTTTACTAAAGTTTTAATTGAAACTGATAACAGGACTGAAAGTTGAGATTTAGGACGCGAGAATTTTTTTAACTAAAGTTTTAATTGAAACTGATAACAGGACTGAAAGTTGAGATTTTTCCAGAAAAATTCAATCAACATCACAAATAATTTTTTTTTCAAGCTACTTATTACAAAAAAGTTTTGATTTTTAAAAAACTTTTGAGCTGATAAACTGCCAAATTAAAATTCAAAAAGTGCTGATTTTAACTGAAAGTTCATTGAATTTAGTGCCTCGCGCTCTGCTTCCTCATTTCAAATTAGACTAGAGAGCAAAAATTTAAAAATATTTCGAAATATTTTAAGGTCATTCGACTCACAACTGTACAGGCTGTGTTACTAAATATCCTTAATTATATTCTGATAATTTTTTATACCTAATTTTGCTTGGAAAAAGTTTAATTTTTTGCTTTACAAAAATTTGTAAAAATGAAAAAATCAAACACACCCGTAGACAAAGTTCCGTTCCATTTTAGTTTCGTTTCATTTTCGGCAAAACAAGATTGGTCAGTTTCGGTGAAGCAGCACAAAGTGTGTTGACAATTGTAATCCTCATAACAGAAATCGATGTTAACCTTCTTCGGAATTCGTTTATGTTGATGCTATAGATTCAAGTAGAATACCTCTATCAGGTAGAAAGATGGGAGAAAATTTAGCTTAAGAACTGTTTCATGGTACCCAATTTTCTATGAAAGCAATCGTAGAATAACAATGAGAACAAGATGACTGACTTCACTTTGTCAGTCTTCATTTTCAGATTTTTATTCTCTAAGATTGGTTTAAGACGTAGAGAACAAAAAGCTCTTTCATTTTCAATTTTTAAAATAAATTTGACAAATATGAAGAAAATTAGAACAAGCTGTTTTTTTTCAAGTCAAAAATTTTCGTGAAAAATGCTTTCAAAAAAACCAACGCAATACGTTTCGGACATAATAAGTGAGAAATCTTTTCGTTCATCAACACTTAACTGAAGGAAAATATTAGATTTTTTTGTTGCAGAGGGTAAAATCTATGGACCTATTCAGTTATAGATCAAGTGTTTTCCAATCAAAGGCTCAAAGATAACAAGTCTGTACAGTTTAGAGAAACTGGCACTGGCTTGCTTCTTATTGACCTGAAAACTAGAATTGGGCTACTTCTTTTTGACTTCAAAACTACTTCTTATAAAGTGACTAAGCCGATAAAACAAAAACCCACACTGTTCAAGCAGAAAAAACCAGTATCAGACTAGGTAAAAATATAAACTACTGAGATTTCAATTATAGTAAAAGCTGTTTAAATCAGCATCAAATCATCCATGAAGCCTATAAACATTTGTACCAGACACAAATTGAAATTTAAGAAAAATGGAAAATGAACCTACAAAAACTTACCAGATACTTATTAGAAAAATAACTGCTGCCTGTAAAGAACTTCGTCTAACTATTACTTAACTTAAATGATGGTAGTTTTGAATCAATTTTCAAAAAATTTTAGCGTGTCAGCAGTATTACCATTCCTGACAATTCTGAAAGCAAAAACCAAAGAAAGGAATCACTAGCTTGCCGTAATTATTACGCAATTGTTTCTGAAGACAAAGACAAAGAAAATAGAGGAAGGGAAAAAACGAGTATAAGCCTTGGAAAAAAAATTTCTATGCAACGAATTCAAACCACGGACCTAGAGATTCAAAAGCGTACTTCCTTCCAGCTACGCCTACTGCTTTACTGAAGCGGAAGGAATTTGCTAGTTATTATAATCTACGACGACTTTCTTTACTAATGCGTAAGGGACTTGGCGCTTTTGAGACAATTTCCCTACTAGTCGTTCTCTTAATTGATTTTTTAATCATCGAATTAGCTGGGTAGCTTTCGAAAAAAAGTGAAAGTTTCCAAAAAATCTCAAGTTTAAGTTTTTAAAAACTATAAAGCTTTCTTGAATAAAACAGTGGAATGCCCCTTATGTAGGACAGATTAAAACCATTACCTCTTATACGCTAGTGTAATTTTCCAGAACAATGAAAAAATGCTCAAAAGTGGTAAGAAGTTCAAAAATGAATTTTTCCTGAGGCCATGCTGACTTTCCTAGAAAAAAATGCATCCACTTATTAAGAGAAAAGCCCCAGAATTCTTTGTGTTTTTTTGCTCAAACTCTTAATTGCAGAACTGAGAGGGTAAAAAAAGCGTAGCCGATTACGCCGGGGAACCTTCTATTGCGTTCTATTGGTTGAACTCTCAATCCCACGTTTGACAGGGTAGTTCTCGAGAACACAAATTGCAAAAAATGAGATCAATAATTGAAAACTTGAACCTTATATAGCTCTATTTTGATTCTCTAGTATTAGGGCCCAACTTTTTATGCAGGGGAAATTCTCGTTAAGTGGATTGAAGCTTTCATCTTAACTAGGCAGGGCAAGAATGAATTTTACATGAATTTTCTAAGAAAGAAATCCGAACAAGGTTGGAAACTTATCCATACTGAAAGTTTCGATGTCCGTTAAGGGGGCGTTAGGGAAAAAATAGCGTAATACGCAAGTTCGTAGTTACGCAATTGGTCTTTTGATTAGCATTAGTGCAAATTAGGATCAAGGAAGTAGTCCATTACGAGGCCAAACTGTGCATTCTCTGCATTGTAAGTGGAATCCGCAACAGGCCAAAATCAAATTTGTCGCGGAATCCGCAATATTGCTACTTTTCTTTGATCTTCTATGCTGTTTTGGAATCCACAAACAAATACCTGAATCATTGTACCGCTCAAAATCGCTCGAAAAATAGGCGAAATTGCGGAATCCGCAACTGTATTTGCGGAATCCAGAACAGTTTGTTGAATCCACAAACAAATGATAAAACATTTGCATCGTTAAATTGAGCTGTTGCGAAATCCGCAACTTTAAGTGGAATCCGCAAATTGTAAGTGGAATCCGCAAATTGTAAGTGGAATCCGCAAATTGATTGCGGATTCCCTTTACATATATTTATATGTGTAGTAGCCTTTAAACTTATATCTTTTCAATACATGGTTTGATTTCACTAGAATAGAAATTTACAATAATAGAAATTTACTAGAATAGATCAGTGTTTGGGATTAATGGAATCCCAATTACTGACCAGTATTTGGGATCGATGAAGTTCCAAATACTGAAGTAATTTGACGATTTGCTATGCGTTGGGTTTCTAATCACTCTCAACCTAATGACTCCAAATAATGGATATATTCCATATTTATTCCACAATATTCCAGTTTTTGGGATTCCCTCAATCCCAAATACTGACCAGTATTTGGGATCGATGGAATCTCAAACACTGAACTAATTTGACGATTTGCTATGCGTTGGGTTTCTTATCACTCTCAACTTAACGACTCCAAATAATGGATATATTCCATATTTGTTCCACATTATTCCAGTTTTTGGGGTTTCATCAATCCCAAATACTGACCAGTATTTGGGATCGATGTAATCCCAAATACTGACCTATTTGGCAATATGCAGTGTGTTGTGTTTCCATACACTCTCAACCCAATGACTACAATTACTGCATTTATTCGGCTTTATGCTTCCAAAATCAGTATTTGGGGTTGACGCAATCCCAAATACTGACCTAATTTGTTGATATGCTGTGTGTTCCATACACTCTAAACTCAATGACTCCAAAATATTGAAATTGTTCGATGTTCTGTTTCCAAAATACTAAAAGATGACATCCACCGATTTAGGTAACCAATGTTTTAAGACTTGTTCGTGGATTCCGCTGACAATGGTTAAGTCTTTGCTTTTAAATTCCGCATTGCTAGAGATAAGAATTCCAGCTCAGCTTTTAATTGTTCATATGTAAGTTCAGTATTGAACAAAATTCAGAATCCAATTACGGTTTGCGGAATCCACTTACATTTGCGGATTTCGCTTACATTTTGCGGAATGCACTTACAGTTGCGGAATCCAGAACAACTAGCTATATTTGCTTGTTGCGGAATCCGCACCAAAACAAATGTGCCGACAAAATTTATGTTACAGGTATATGTATGCGGAATCCACTGAAATTTTGTTTGTGGAGTCCACTTACATTTTGGAACATATTTTAGGACTTGTCTCTGGAACCCAGGAACATACAGACACAAAATTGTTCTCCTATCCAGTGCACAGTTTGGCCTCGTAATGTCTAAAAAATTAAATTTTCTGCACAAGGAAAGTTTATTCAAAAAGCGTCTCAAAAAACTAAGCCCCATCCAATTTCATAAATCTCGTTATTGGCATTAGGCCGGCAAGAAACAGGAACTTGCCATACACTAAGCTAAATTGAAAAGGTAGCCACCAGACAGTAAGAAGAGAGTCAATGAGCGCAAATAAGCAGAAAAAACTTTGAATTAAATTTTTCTTGAAAAATTTTCAACTTTCGGATTTCGAAGAAAAAAAGATGCCCTTAAACAGTTCATGATTGACACTTTTTTTGACAGAGGGTCGAAGCCGCGTTTCGTAAAAACTAGCGAGAACACGCCAAAAATAACAGTTTTAAAAGGCAAATAAAAAAATTACAAATAAACCTTGAAATGGTACTTTGCTATGTATCGCATTCAAACCGGCAACCTCGAGATTATGAGCCTCACTTCCTGCCCTCTCAGCTGCGGAAACTTCACTATCGGCGAACATTAGTCACAAGTAAAGCAGTTACGTATGCAAATAAACTGCCAATGCAATGCAGCAAGAGTGGCAACAAAAACAAATAGACACATTTTTGCATTTAATCGTTTGAAGCAAACAAACTCAAAGCCTCGATTTTTTTACATGAAATATGTTGGAAAGAATTAAGCCAAATTATGTACAAAATATGCATTTCTGACAAAAAATTCGAGATATTTTGATTAGGAAAATTTCTGAAACCAAGTCTCTGTTACTGTACTGTTGTTTAAAACAAATAGATTTTTTTTTAATTCAGAAAAATAAAAATGCATTGAAAGTCTCAAGTTTGATTTTTAAGGCGTTTTCTTTCGTCCATTTTTTCTGCTCGATGTAAGAGTTTGCCTTCCTTATAACAGAGGCAATGAAGTGAACTTATAAAAAAAAACCAAACCGCAATAAATCAAACTTGAGCTTGAACAAATTTTGAGACTTTGCCTGAAAAAATAACCAATAAAAAATCATTGCTACCTATATAAGAGTCTGAACTACGTTTATTGACTCAGAAACAATGTTTTTACGGTATTGAGTATATGCCATTCAGAAACAGAATAAGTGAACACTTTTAATGAAGACTTATACTTGCGACCGAGAGTGGAAAAAAATTGGACATCGTAGTATAACACTACTCTGCACTTGTGTTATAAACGCAATTACACCATCGCTTGCGAATTAATTGGTTTTGATTTATGAAGTCCAACAGCTTCTCGAATTAAGCAATTTTTTTTACTCTTAACTGTCAAAAAGGTATGACAGGACGCAATATTAATAACTATCAACAAGGCATCAGTACAGTTCAGATTTCAGAAGATGCGTTCTCCTGTTTTTAGTCACGCTGAGCAGCAATTGAATAAATCAGATGAAAATAATGCATTTTAGAATTGCGCTAAAAGAAATCAAAACATTTTGCATCAAAAGACTGATCATTGAAATTTATTTACCATTTTATACTATAGCACACTAATTCTTGATTATAAGTCTGCTTTGGCGCAACAAGCTACCGTTAACAAAATTCGATCTTGATTCAGTGTACCTTCACATTTTTCGAGAGATCAATTAATTAAAAACCAATTTTGATAAGTTCAAATTCCCTATCAAAGCGGACATGTTCTTTAAATTCATATCGAGATTTACTTAACAGTCAAAACTCTTATGAAAAATGCACAGCCAGTTCAAAATTGCAAGCAACTGCTCGAAAAAGCTATCAGAGCAGTCTGGACTCCAACGAATAAATTTTTGATCACTTCCTTCCTCGACCTAAAGAACAAGTAGTAATCTCAAGTTGTTCCTCAAACTTATAAATCGAAGCTTGATATGCGCTTTCGGTACCTGATATTGCGATAGGATCAATGAAATGAACTAGCTGTAAAGCTTAAGGTGTAATGACTATCCAGAATATATTTGAGATTGTCTTCCATAGAAACTATAAACTTAGCCCTTATTGCCATCAAGTGGAATCGATGACGCATCAAACAAGCAGGTGGTGTTTGGGTACGACAGATAAGTCACCCAAATGTTTGTCATGAGTGTCGGTGTTAGGCAAGATAACTGGTTATCTAAAAAGGAAGTATGCAAATTTATCTGATAAGTTGTCAAGTCAATTTGTCTGACCATATCTCAATCTCCGCTCGCTTTTCTTTATTGATCTGACTTCCTTTTTACTTCCCATCTAGGCATAGTGGCACACTTAATGAGTGGATACTTCGATTGAAGATAGGAGGAAACGAGGTCTCATCATTTGCATCTCCTTTTGATCCTATTCTAATGTCTCCCTAGTGCTATTAGAGGTCTATTAACAAATGCAAAAAGTGCCTGATTTTTCTTAATGCAACTAAAATAGCAACACCAAACCATGAAAAAATAGCAACACAAAACCACTCACTTTTAAAATGCGATGTTAAGAGCTGCTTCCATAATTAATTACGCCATCAATTCTTCCAGGTTTAAAGTAAGAACAACAATAACACCAAAAAAGCTGCTTTTCATGGAAGAAAAGAACTATAGTTGAGCTACGATTCGTAACAGCCGATAATTCGTAGCAAGGCAAATAGCGACTGCTTGTTCCAGTTTGCTTACATTCTGAACGAGATGAGTGGTACTATGACCCCGTCTCAGTATTCGGCGCTTAATCTGCTGCTACGAATTGTCGACTGAAGAAGAACGATAGCGATTTAAAAAGGCAGTTTGCTGACATGAATTAGGCAAAAAACAAATCAAAACCAATGTTTGAAAGATCATCTCAGAAAATAAACAGAATAAACATTTGCTACACTAATTCAAAATTTCCGAGCGCCCCGACTAGGCCAACAAAAAACATTAAGTTGTTATTACCAATCAATTAGTCTCCATAAATATCTCTTAGTTTTAAAGGTCAGAAGTTCATTCATTGGTCCAAGTCCAGGAGAGACTCCGGACTGTTTTCATCTTCATCGTCTTCATGATTCATTGAACCTAAACTGTCCTCATCGACTAAAGCTCCGGCGGGTTCAAACTCCCCTTCAAAAAAATCCCCGTCGTCAAATTCACTATCACTGTCCGAATCCTCTTCATCGTCATCTTCTTCGTCTTCATATCCCGCGGCGTTTATTCCCGATGCTCCGCCTGATGGCCCATTCCCGCGGTTGCTTCCCGATCCACTTCCTCTGTGTGGCGGCATCTGCATCTGATGATTGAGAAGCTCATCAAATATTACAGCTTCATCATCGTCGTCATCATCTTCATCGTCGTCGTCGTCATCATCATCATCATCGTCCTCATCATCATCATTGTCGCTATTTTCCTGTAAAAAAAAAGAATTTAAACAAATTGTCACTTTCAATCACTGGCTCTGTTGAGTCGAAACTTATTTTTCAAATTGAGTGAATTAGAAAAGAAACACGACCTCGAAAGATTTAACTGGTTAATTGACGAAAAACTGGCTAGCGCAAAGTAGATTGATAAAACATTAAGCTCGTTAGAATATACTTACTCGACTTGCCGCTAACTTAGCCCTTTAATTTCATAACACTCGCAGCCACAATTCTCGCATCACAGTTTAACTAACCAGCCAAAAAAATGCATGGAATGAATAGTGTTACCTCGTCCTCCTGGTCTGGTTCTCTGGGCACTCCCACTTCGTATATCTTGCAGATGCCACTCTCGTGAAGAAACACGCCCCCGTTGCCGCCTCCGTTCTCGATGACTGCAACGTACTGGTCTCTCGGCTCAATCGACACGTCGCCCACCTTCTTTTTCGTGTCCAGAGTGGCTAAACGAACAATGGCTCAGAAAGTCGGCCAGTTACTTACAAATGTGACTTTAAGTTGATCGAAAATTAGTCTGATCTATTTAAGTGATACTTAATGAATATTTGGAAATTAACGGGTACCACGATTAAGTCCATTATACTTTCTTAATAAAAAATCAACATCCATGTCTTGAATATCGAAAATTTTATGCTTAAAAGGTCCCAGAAATAAGATAACATGTAAATACTATGAAATTGTCGCCTCATTAGCGCTCTATTGCTCGAGTAAATTAGCTTTACAAGGTGGTCAGTGTCTGAGAAATAGCTGGCACTGACACTCGCACAGATGAAAATAAATACCAGGCACTAACATTTTTTTGAAAAATAGCCCTTTTATGGCTTTTTGCTCCACATTTTTTTCGATGTCCCATCTTTTTTGACACAATGTTTTTTTTCCCAACTAATTTCTTCTTAGACTACCTGAAGAAAAATCGTATACTGTGTAATCCTGCTAAAATTTTTGATTTTGAACGATTCACTAAAGAAGCGCGATGAAAAAAAAACTGCCACTGATATTGATTTGCTGGCACTGATGGCACTGACAGACCACGCATCGCACTGATTTGGCATTGGCACTGATACCGTGGCCACCCTGCTTTAAAACCATTAGTGCACTTTTGATACGATTACTTTGTTTTGTAGTACTTCACTAGCCCTACATCAACTACCCACTCACCTATGGTCTGGTAGTCGCATGCGTCTATGGTCTTGATACAGGATGCCATAGTGAGAGATCTGTCATCGTCCACAGCTGTGAAGGCACTACTGTAGATGACATTGTGTGCATTGTTGAACCAGACCAGACATTGATCTAGTGCAGGAACTGTCTGCACTAACTTGTATGTCCTCAAATCCCACACTTCGCTATTAATAACAACCTGAAATACAGTTTGTGTTTGGCCCCCATTCTGTTATAAGATTAGTAACAATGAAATTTTTTCTGCAATAACACTCGCCAAAATAACATCTTACAATAATTCCTCTCAATAAATTTTGACAGCGAAAAAATCAACCACAAGTTTCCAAATAATTCTCCAAACTGAATCGATGTACGCAGTATACCCAATTATCTAAAAAAATTGCTTCAATTTAGTCATGAAATGAGCACTTTTATTTGCAAAATGTGTAGGAAAAAAAGCAGATTCATAATACAACACTAGGCTCGCTATTTTGCTTGTGTAAAATGTATTTCTCAGCTCTCGAACTTCAGATCAAACTCAATTGACTAAATTAAATGGAGGGCTATTGCTCATGACTTCACTGATTCCAACAAACTAATTCTAACCTGGAGTGTGTTCGGGTGGAACTGTCCTGCGATTGAGTCGTTAAACTTGTCGAACTTGTGGAGTGGATTGGGCTGTCTAGTGTCCCACAGCACTCCGTCATTCAGCACTAGGTTGTTCGAGTGGTAGCTACCTGTGGCCATGTTCATCAGGTAGTTGTTAGAGTAACCCGGGTGGAACAAGGAGCGGATGCGGGTCTTACTCGCTATATCGTACACCTACATATAAAGCATGACAATGCACACATATGAAGATGTAGATTCTATATAGTAAACACAGAGGCGAAGCTCCCAAGAATGAATGACTATGATTACCAGCAAATAAAACAAATCAAAAAAAATATTTTTCTTGGTAAAAAAATTGCAAAGAAGGACAAAAATCTTTTAATGACAAAAAGCTTTCAAAATGCCTAAAAGAAATCGAACCTTTCTTCGGGACCTAAGCCGACAAAAAATAGCAGACATGAAAATTTTCAGTTTCCACAAAAAATCAAATCCCGACTGGAATCGATCTTCTGGGATTTGTCGCCTCAAGCATGAGTATTACCACTGCGCCAAGTGCAGAGAACAATTCTTAAAGTTATAAAAAAACGACCTCCAACACTTTTTGATAAAAGGCATGAAAAAAATCGAAAAATAACAAAAAAAAGACAAAATTTAACTCTTGGAACTAATTAATTGCCCAAAATCAGAATACGCTGGAATGGTTTTTAATTGGAGTAAAAAATGCCCACATGTTAGGTAGTTGTGCCGACAAAAAAGCAGACAAACACAAATTCGACAAAGATTTTTGACGCGCTCGTAATTTTCCGCTTGCAAAAAAAAAACAGGTCGTAACCGGATTCGAACCATTGACCTGTCTTTATGTGCGAATTAACGTCTGACTTTTGATTTCATATGAACCAAAGGTAAAAAGATTCAAGTGATTCTGTTAAACTAGTTGTTAACCCAAAAAAGTCTATATTTGGATTTGATAACGCTTGCTCATCACAAGCGTAACAACGCAATTTTTTGGTGAAAAAAATGAAAGCAATACTTCCAAAAAGTCAGATTCAGAAAAAACTTCAAATTAAGTGGGCTAATATCGATGCGAAAAAAAACTGTACCGAAGGGGACGAATTGAAGTCTAAATTTAATTTTAGGGTATGAAATGCTACTTACAAATGCCTTTTCATTGTAGCTCCCAATCACGAGGTCCTGATTTACTTTAGAGAATTCACAGTACATCTCGTTCTCAAAGTCCATTCTGAAATGTACTCATATTTACTACAGACGATAAGTGTACGATCGAACATGTGATAACTTAGAGAAAATTTTTACGAAATCTCACTTTTTGCGTTATCTAAAAGGACCAATGTCCAAAATTTCTATTAGTTTTAATTATGTTTTACCCCACTCTCCCATTATTTACATTCATACAGCGCCATGCAGCAAAATTTCTGCAGGTTTCTTAGGTCTCCATGGCTTCTTGACAACAGTAGGATACCAAAAACTACAACTCTTTTTATACATGTTGACTTACACTTTTGAGCATGAATTCCTGTCTTCTGTCAGTTTCCAGAGAGTGGCGCCTGGACTGCCCCAGGACACAGTAGTTAAGAGTAGGTTGGAGGATGTGGTCACATCTATCCCTGCAATAGATGTGTCATGGCACTCGAACGAACACATGGGCACCTGGCCATCAGTGGAGCAGGAGTAGCGCCTCACCTCTCCCATCGAAGTGCCGATGAACAGGTCCGACCGACATTTCTAAAAAGAAAAATGCTTCGACGAAAACTCCGAATATAATATATATTTATTCTTCTGCAAGACTTCAATTAGTTAGGGTTTATAAAAGCCATAAATAAAACTTAAGGCCTGAATAAGACAAGTTCTGAGCATCGGTCAAAATCTTCACAACTAAAAAAATCTCACTTCCCAAATTAACCGAACCATTACTAACTGAGAATGAGACGGAAGTGAAGAAACCCCTGTCGATGTTGGCCTCCGAGAAAGTCATCACTGGTCGGAAACGGCTATGAATCAGTTTGCGGTTAAAAGAACTAGAGCTTCCGTCCATGCCGCCACCCCAACCACTGCCTCCGTGCACCTGCACACAAAAGAAATAAAACATTGCCAACTGACAGTTGAAAAAGAGTAATGAACGCAAGGAAACTGAAAGTAAAACTGACTTGTTTTTTCGAAATATCTACAACTTTTGAATTTCGAAGAAAAAAATAGATGGCCTTAAAGCTCTTTGAGTTTGTAGAACAAATTATGATGGACACTTTCATGTTAAAATTAACCTAATTTGAGAAAACTGGATCAATAGGTAAAATTTTTAATTCGCTGGGAAATCTGATAATTAATTTCCATTTTTAAAATTAGAATTTAATCACGCTTCTTGTGACCTTTAGAACTTAAGTGTTCGATAGTGGAGTTTGCCTTCCTTTTAACAATAGAAACTTGAAAAGAAATCACAAGTCAAACCGCGAAAAATCAAAACTGAGCGTGAACAAATTTTAAGACTTTTTTCTGGAAAAAAACTAGAAAACAAGGATAGCCGAATACTGTGCAAGTAGCACAGAATGTCCCCGACCATAGTCTTTAAAAAAAATTACAAGATAAAGCTTAGTTTTTCTGCTTGGGTTGACAAAAAAGTCTGATGTAAAACTATGTTTTAGGCATATTTGACATTCATAGTAATACAGGCAAATAAGACACAAACATGGTTTAGAAAATTGACTAGAAAAACAAAAATGAAAAAAATCAGATTTCAAAAAAAAATTTCATATTTTTTGCAGAAAATTTTCCAAATTTTTTAAAAAGTTTCAAGTTCTTAGAATGGAGCTAAAAAATTAATTTAATTGCTTAAGATTATATTTTAAGGTGGTTAAATTTTAAGTTTCGCTTAATAAAGCTGTTGTAAGCCTGCTCGCTTGCCTTATTCGCTTGAATTAAGACGGAAAATCAAAAATTTCAAACCGGTTTTTCTCAACACTAGGAAAGTTTATCAAAATTTTCAAATGTCGTTCGAATCACAACTGAAATGGCTTTTCTATGATATATCATTCAACTCAGTCCGATGCTTGTTTGTGGTAGCTGGTTTTGCGTGGAAAACAAAAAAACTGAAACACCCGAATACCAAAATGATTCACATTTCCGAAATGGTCAAAAAAAAATTAGCAAGACCTGTAGAAGAGTACTTCTTACGTTCATTACTCTTAATAAGCTCAAATACGGTATTCAAAAAACCAATCAACAATCCTCAATCGCTGTTTCTGACTTAGTCTTTTTTGACTAAACTTCATTTTTAAATTTCAAATATTATGTTATATATAGAGGCGAAGCTGCGCTTCGGAAACACTTGCGAGAAGACGACCAAAAAGCAGCTCTATCAAGTGACATAAAGAAAGTAGAAATAAGCCTCGAACTTGCAAAAACTCGAAGCTTAGCAAAAACTCGAATTAGCAAAAACGTGCGACCTAGCAAATTTGAGTCTAACACACTAACCATTCAGCCAGTGATGCTTAAAATCCCCAAATAACGCAGCTACATATGCTAATAAATTGCCAATTCAATGCATCAAAAGGAGCACCAAAAACAAAAAGATACAACTTTGCACGTAATAAATTGCAAATCATAAAGTAACATTATGAATAAATTGTGCACTTCAAAAAATTGCGAGATATTTGTGTTAGAAAATTTCTCAAATCGAGATTTTATTATTGCTATGTTGTTTGAAACAAATAGCTTTTTTCGGTTCATTTGATGAATTAAAAATGCATCAACTGTGCAAACTTATAAGTGTTCGAAAGTCAACTGTAAAGGTGCAACAAATAAGCTGTCATGCCAATTCGATGCAGCAAATGATGTTGCTGGTTTTAAAAACACAGAGATCACTCACTTTACGAAGGAACATTCTCTTTGCAACGGAAAGTGGGGCAGATGTATTGTAGAGGGGCTCCGGGCATTTGTGCTGCCTGAAATAATAACAGACACTTATTTCAAAATTAAAACAATTTTTCTTTGTCTTATAAAAAAAATTAACGCACTCTTTGAGAGAAAACGGAGGACAGAACACAATTGGGCGTTCGCATTTGGCATGTTGCGATTCCAAATAGCTCTCGACAATGTTGTTCAGAGTCCTGCTCTTATTCGGCAGTGATGCTCTCCAGGGCAACGAGAGACTCTTATCTTCTGTATTGGCCACACTCGCCAAACTCATGTTCAGATCTACGACCGCCGAGAGACTATTTTGAGTCGAATTGCACACGGAGTTTACTACCAATGGCGACGGTACAGAGGGCACTATTCCCCTAGATTGCTGGATTTGGCGTTTCACTGATTTGTAGGTTTCCGGAGTTGAAGGCACTGCGTGGCTGTCGCCATGTGATCCGGCAAAGTTGTGATTCCTGGACCTACATGGCCATAACATAGGTGACCCTGTGACTGAACTATGGTGACTGTTTGTTGCTCTACTAGCGACAGTCGAGATATTGTTCGACATTTCTGATTGCCGATTCACCTGAAAATAATAAATAAAGGATGCAATCAGGTCTCTACACATTGCTCGATGGCGTTTTTCCACAAAAACTTAACAAAACAAATGTTCAATTTGGTGACTAAATAATACTCAACTAATCAGTGAAAACGTGTTTTAAAGGGTAAAACAACTTAGAGAAAGAATTGCTTTTCTTTTCGTTCTCTTTTCCCACCAAATAGGCCAAAACATGCCTTTTGCCTTCAAAAGTAGGATCGTATTCCCAGCTTGCCTATAATGGGGCTTTTAGTCTTTCTTAAATTACCTCGACAGTTGATTGCTGTGATGACGCAAGTATATTAGAGAACATTATGCGTTGAGGTTGAGTCAAAGATGAGGTATGGGATACTGCACGAAGAGGTAAAGAGGTTTGGCTGGAAGGGAGTCGGACTATCTCCATGGGTTGACCCGGTTGGCCTACTGTCACGCTTAGACGGGCTGCATTTCGGGGTTTAGGGTGCAAAACGATAGGCTTCATTTTATGTGTCTTGTAGAAAGAAGCAAGTTCTGCTTCGTGGAAAAGGGTTTTTGCAGAATTGGAGTACCCTATAACATAACGCAAGCTATCTTAGCCCACTATTTTTTTCTTGATCCTATCACAAACTGGAATGATTCTAGAGTGAGTTGAATCAGGGGCCGATCTAGAATTTTCTCGAGGATGGCGGCAGATTTTCAAAAAAAATGTTGATGACCTATTTTTAGGTCGACCAAATTGATTTTCCGAGCTCTTTTAAAACACAAAAAACTATCCTATTTTGACAAAATTTTCTGCACATCAGGAAATTTTTGAAAAACATGCCAAAAGGTTTTTAAAAATTTTTGACCAAAACTCGTTTTGGCGCGAGCTCCCCTTCAAATTGTTAGGTCGCTCGGCCGAAAATGGATGACGTCAAAAAATACTTAAGGTTGGATGGTGAGGGGGTCAAATCCCAAAGAAGAGACATCCCCACCGCACCTGGGTTGAATGATGCCACTTTGTCGACTGAGGAATACAAGCTGTAAAATTAGATTTACCAACCTAAGAAGTCAAGGTGTTCGCTGATGAGTGCGATTAGTTCCTTGGGGTCCCACGATATCCTGGTCTGGGCTACTATCTCTGCCCGCTTCAGCTCCTCGATGCTCCTGGCGCCAGAGGGATGAGGATGATAGTACTTCCTGGTGCTGAAAACTCTGTCTATGATTGCTGAGCCACAGTGTTGAAACTTCTGGTGGTCCAACAGTTTGTCAGGCTGCACAGGTGGCTCCCGCATGGCAACTGCAAGAAGAAACAAAGATAGCCAGTTCCTGTGCGAGTATCTCAGAAAGTACCGGGGAAAAATAAATACAGAGGTAAAGCAGAGCTTCACGCCAATTTCGATTCAACGCAAGCGTAGAATTGCAAGCAAGCGAAAGGAAACACGTCGAAAACAACTTAGTCTAGAAAAAATACTAAAAAACTCCATTACAGAAAACAGTCGAAAAAATCAACCACCAGCTTTAAATTAACTTCAAGTATTTCTAACAGAGCGGCCAATAAGCCGGCATAACATAAATAGACGCTGAGCCGAAAAACCAGCGCCAAATTTTTTTATTCATACAGGAAAACAAAACAAGGTCCGGTCGGGACTCGAACCCAAGACTGTGCTTTATTAAACTCAACTCCCAAGAACTCAAATCCTTATCGCCATAGTATAAGCCTGATCGCTCGCTTTACTCGCTGAAATGAAGCTAACAAAAAAATTCAAACCGGTTTTTCTCAATACTGAGAAAACGTTTCGGAAATTTTTTAATGTAATTCGAATCGCGACTGTAAGTAGTTTTATACACAGAGGCGAAGCTGCGCTTTGCAAACACTTGCAAGATCACGATCAAAAAGCAGCTCTATCAAAAGAAATAAGAAAAAAAGAGAAATAGATTTCGAAGTAGCAAAAAATCAGCTACGTTTCGGATTCGGATCTGCGACCAAGCAAAATTGAGTCTCACGCACGAACCACTCAAAAACGGATGCTAAAATTCCTAAAAACTAGCCACCAATAACGCAACTACATATGCTAATAAATTGACAATTCGATGTAGCAAAGTAGCACTAAATACAAAAAGACACAATTTTGGATGTAATAAATTGGAAAACATGAAGTCAAATTATGTATAAATTATGAATTTCAAAAAAAATTGCTATATACATTGAGTTGGAAAATTTCTGAAATCGAGCTTTTTATCATTGTATTGCTGTTTGAAACAAATAACATTTTGTTTCATTCGATGAATTAAAAATGCATGAACTGCGTCAACTTTTTAGTAATCAAATGTCAAATCACATATGATTTTATACTGCAACCGCAGCCTACCGATTCAAAAGTGCCACCAAAAGTAACATTTTTATTTACAACTTGGGTTGGGGAAAAAAGAAAGTTCGTAATATTACACTTTGCTTCGCAAGTGTAATGATGGATCACTCGACATCCTCCAAGGATTATTTGTGATATTTAGTTGCACGGAAAAATTCAAAAGCTAAAACACACTTTTGCAAACAACTCTTGACACAGGCGAAATTCCTAACTTGCAAACGAGCAGGAAAACGGCAAAAAAAAATTAAAAACTGCTCGTTTAGTTGCTGCACTAACGTTGAATGTAATAACTTGGAATGCGTCAAACCAAATTGTGGGTAAATAAAATTTCAAAAATCTCGCGAAATACATTTAAAAAAACATTAACACAGGCGAAGCTGCGCTTCGCAAACACTAGCGAGAACACGACAAAAAGCAGCTGTAGAATTGGAAAAGGCGCAAAAAGAAAAAGTAAAATTGAGCCTCGAATTAGTAAAAGTTCGTCGACGTCTCGTACTCGAACGTACGACCTACTGCGAACTAGACATTATGAGTCTTACGCTTTAACCACAAACGCTTAGGCTATCACAAACACTAGCCAAAAATAAAGCCGAGAACAGATTCTATGAAATTTCCAATGCTACAGATCGTGATTATAGCAAAGAGGCACACAAAAGAACACTTTTAATGAACACTTTTATTTGCGAGTTAGGTTAGGAAAAAAAAGAAGGTTCGTACTAAAACACTAGTTGCTCGCCAGCGTAAATAGGAATACTTATTATTAATATACTGTTTTATAAAACAAACCACTTTTTGCTATTTATTTGACGATTAACAGAGGCAAAGCGGCGCTTCGCAAACACAAGCGAGAAAAAGGCAAAAACGAAGTGAAAAAAGGAAAAAGGTAAAAATGCTTTGATCTGTTCCACGGCACCCAATAAGCACGAATTTTTGCGACTTGGGTTGGAAAATTTGCTTCGTAGTATTTAACAACGATCTGGTTGTGCAAAAAAGCATCAGCTGTGTTAACTCATTAGTAATCAAATCTCAAAGCATACGCAATTGAATTGCCACTGCTGAAAAACTGCGACCAAAATTATTACTAATATTTGCTAATTGCGCCAGAAAATGAAGTAATCACGTAATATGACACTACGCTTTGCTTGTGTAAAAAGTTGTTTACATCATAAATGAGTGTCAATTTCTCACTTTCTAGTAGTCCTTGTGAGAAGAGCGGCATCCGACTGACGATCTGTTTGATGCTGTCGTCCAGGCACAACCCATACAGAGCCACACAGGCCAGAGAGCGAAGCAGTTCCGCATCTGCGGGCGGGGTCTTGGTCACCGCCAGCGACAATAGCACCTGGCGCAATCAAAAGTCGACCATTATATTAGCGGCCATTTCCATTTTTTTCAGCGTCAAAACTCCAATAAAATATGATGTACCATATATTGCTGTACAACGGAAATGATACAATATAAATAACTATGATAGTGCATCATTATGGTGAATAACAAACTATAAAAATTGAAAATTAACCTGCAAGCCATTGTTGTTACGCACACTGCCCCACATCGTTTCCACAATTTCATCTCTTGGGTTGGCAGGATACCCTGTCAATTTGGGATGACCCATTCCAACCAACACTTGATCTCCTGGCAAGCCTGTGTACAAAATACCATATGGTCCACAAGCACAGTTTATTATCACTCTTAACGCTGATTTCTGCACCTCTGCGTCTTGCACTGCAGCTCCTCCGACTAGATTCAATATAATCTTGGTGCCCTGAATCTGCTCAAAACTCGGCTGGCTAGCCATTTCATCGTCGTCCGCTTGGTGCACCGGCACTTCGATCGCCTGACATAGCAACTCTTGGTACTTGGGATGCGCAGTTATACACGCAATGACATCCAATGCATTCCTAAGAGTCTCGGCTCTGAACTGGTACGATTTCCACTCTTGTGCCATGTAGCATATCTGCAACAACACTTGGAGACCTTGCAGCTTCACAAATTGGTCCACTACAGGCCAATTCGCTTTCACAGACGCAAATTCCAACAAAAACCACATATTTTTCAGCTCTATCCGTCTGTTGATATCGGCCGCTTTGTGACTTTGCAAAGGTAGATACAACGGAGTCCGCTTTAGAGTCTTCTTTAGGTTGTCTGCTTTGATTGCGAGATGCATTGAAAAATAACTTCTGAGCGCGACGCAGTAGTGTTTTATAGCTTGTCGAATAGAGTCGCTTCGGTCGTCGGAAGTCTCGGGTCCTAAGAGGAAACTGTCGGCCATCACCGAGTGGTTGAAATGATGACCTGAAATTAACCTTTTGGAATCTCCAGAAAAAGCATAGCCAATTGACAGTTGTAAAAGAGTAATGAAGGTAAGGAAACAAAAAAAAACTGACTTGTTTTTTGAAAAAACTTTCAACTTTCAAATTTTAAAGAAAAACAAGGATAGCCGGTTACTGTGCAAGCAGCACAGAATGTTCCGACCTGACTCTTTAAAAACCTACCGAAAAAATTAATTTTTCGAATTAGTGTACATTTTTAACTGCATGGTGTGATAAAAACGATCTGACTTAAAAATATATATAATTTATGTATCTTTGACAGTCATAATAATATAGGCAAACCATATAGGCAAACAACGTTTTTGAAGAAAAATGACTAGAAAAACAAAAAAATTTAAAAAAAAATCACAATTTTTTGAATTGTTGAAGTTTATGATTACCAAAATGACATTAAAAATCTCCAACAACTAATTTTATTTGAGAAAAATTACAATTAAGCATAATTAAGCTATTGTAAATGGCCTAAATTAAGCATAAATGAGCCTGCTCGCTGGCTGTCGTCGCTCGAAATAAGACGAAAAATTAAAACTTTCAAACCGTTTTTTTTTCAACACTAGAAAATAGTTGGAATTTTATAACATGGTTCGAATCACGACTGAAAGGCTTTAAAATCATATATTAAACAGCCCAGTCCGATCATTATTTGTGGTAACTGATTTTGCGTGGAAAACAAAAAGAAAAAAAACTAAAATACACCGAAACCAAAGTTCCTCGCCATTTTCAATGGCCCGAACAAAAAAACACTAGAAATGTTTGGAATTTTATAATATGGTTCGAATCACGACTGAAAGGCTTTAATATCATATATTAATCAACCCAGTCCGATCATTATTTGTGCAAACTGATTTTGCGTGGAAAACAAAAAGAAAAAAGACTAAAAAACACCGAAACCAAAGTTCCTCGCCATTTTCAATGGCCCGAACAAAAAAATGCCCTTAAAGCTCTTTAAATTTCACGAACAATTTATGATTACTCTTTGTTTGATATAGCAAACCCAATTTGAGAAAACTGGATCAAAAGGTAAAATTTTTATTTTGCTGGGAAATCTGATGATTACATTCCAATTTCGAAATTAGAAGTCGATCACGTTTTTCGTGACCTTTAAACTTTTGCTGTTCAATAGAGGAGTTCGCCGCCCATTTAACAGAGGAAATAAAGTGAACTTAAAAAAATCAAGCCGCGAAAAATCAAAATTGAGCGTGAACAAATTTGTTAAGACTTTTCATTTAAAAAAAAAACGAACAAAAAAATCACCAAGACCGATACAAGCTTACTCACTACGTTCATTTCTCTCAAAAACTGCATAGATGATTACTGAAGCTTTAAACTTAAAAAAAGTGAAAAAAAACTCTCACGATAAGGGATATAAAGAACTTTAAATAAAAAAACTGTAAGGAAAATAGCCCACCTGGTGTCCTGTGAGTGACTGTCTGTTGTCTGCCAGCTGATGCTGGTGGCGTCACTGCTGCACGCCTACTGCTCGGTCCCCCCTCGGGCGTGGTAAGATGAGAACTGTACTCAGACGAAGTGACTGCTGCACTAGCTATGATATTATTGAATATCTCCAGAGTTGTGATCTAATTCAGGGAATCATTACAAGACGGGCGTTGATGGTGGGAGATAAATCAACGATTGAAGATGTTTTAAAGCATGCTCAAATTAAGAGCACATTGGTTAATTGGTTAAGCAAGTTAGTATAGCTGAAATTATTGGAAATTAGACGTTTGTAAGACTATTCTTCTTGAAAAAGCTCATATCTCCTCTAATTAAAAGTAAGAAGCAGCTATATTGTTGATTCATTAATTAATCTTATATTTAACTAATTAAATAATCGTTATATTATCGCGTTTACTTCACTTACAGAGTTGTGCAGTGTTCTGAGTCCATCCATTTGGTCGAATGTCTCCAGCAGACATCTGAAGGGGAATATCTCTGCGAAGAACATGGTCGCATGGCACCTTCCACTCTCGTGGGCACAACACTCCAGCAACCACAGACCATAGCGACATACTTCTCTAGAGGAAAAATAAATGTCCGATTGCAAATAGACTAAAAAAGAGAGAAAATTACAATGAGACAAAAAACTGTTAATTTCCGTTTTCCCCAAGTATGATTCCTGTTTTGACATACGGCCGAACTTACAAAGGTAGAGACAAAGATTTCAAACCCTAATATTCACGACGCGGCGCTCGGTCAAAAACCTACATTCTGAAAAATGATGGCACTCGACATGGATAAAGGAGAAGTACAAGTTTCATAGTGACCACAGCCTGCTCTCAGACAGACATTAAAATAATGACCAACCAGTAGGCCGGCCAATACACCATTATCCATTGATACAAGAAGAATATTTTTGAATCACGTTTATCTAGGATGGGACTTCAGAAACGACGACACATCTAAAATCTATTATGAACGATGCGACTGTTTTCTCGGAAACTCATAGAAAACAAAACAAGATGCACTGATAGTTCCGTTCGCGGGGGTGGTCTCAAAAAATGGAAAACAATCAAATCGTTTTCTTCAGTAGCCACAAACTATGCCGCAAATTATTCACGAGAAAAAAAATGTCCGATTACAAATAGACAGAGAAAATAATGAGACAAAAATTGATAAGTTCTATTTTCATATTTCTTTTTTGAACCACTAATACTGGAGACGCTGTGATAACTAATGACGTCACAAGATATGGATAAACAAAAAAAAACAGGGCCATCACACGACTTCAGATCAATTCTGATTAATTATGCATAAATGGAGCCAAATCGAGAAATTATACTATTATTGATATCAACTTATAGTTATTTAAAACAAACTACAATTTTTGGCTCTTTTCCACTTCCCTTTCTCCCACCTTTCATTTCTAATTTTGAAAAACTACTTTAATGCAAGTACTTAAAAACTATCTCATAATGCAATCAAACTTGGCATGCTAAACAAAATAACTATTGCGAACAGATTTGATCTTCCAGCTTTACATCGTAACATCACGCATTTTGCCATAATAACACGTAAAACAACTATCAAAATAGAAAAGTTGAAGGTGCGGAAAAGGGTAAAAGAGCCCAATTTTTTTAGTATAAAATATAACTTTTTTACCCAGAGGCAAAACTGCACTATAGACAAAGTTGATTTAACAGCACAAAAGCTGAAAAAAAAATTGAAAGCCGGAAAGAAACGGTTTTAAAATAAGCCATTAAAAACAAGACGTTTGCTTTGTGAACTGCAGATCATGTGTCTCATGTCCTCGCATCGGCCCCACAGTCGCTTAACAATAGACGCTTAGCAATACATCTATTACCAATAAAGCCTTCAAAAACTTTGCTCTGAGCCGGAATCGATCATTCGAACAGTAGATTATGAGTCACACTCGCTATTTCTAGCTTCTGTAGAAACAATTTAAACACAGAGGCGAAGCTGAGCTAAGCACCACATGCGATAAACAAAGCCAACGAACCTTGACTTCAATTTGATGAAAAGCGTGAAATTTGATGAAAACCTTGAAATTTTGCTACAAATTTGCGATATAGTGAAATTTCTAAAAAAAAAAAGTTAAGTTGAAAAAATTACTTGAAAACGTAACTCAAAAAAATGAAAAACTACGGCTAGAAAAACTCAGACACACATTAAAATAATGACCAACCAGTAGGCCGGCCAATACACCATTATCCATTGATACAAGAAGAATATTTTTGAATCACGTTTATCTATGATGGGACTTCAGAAACGACGACACATCTAAAATCTATTATGAACGATGCGACTGTTTTCTCGGAAACTCATAGAAAACAAAACAAGATGCACTGATAGTTCCGTTCGCGGGGGTGGTCTCAAAAAATGGAAAACAATCAAATCGTTTTCTTCAGTAGCCACAAACTATGCCGCAAATTATTCACGAGAAAAAAAATGTCCGATTACAAATAGACAGAGAAAATAATGAGACAAAAAATTGATAAGTTCTATTTTCATATTTCTTTTTTGAACCACTAATACTGGAGACGCTGTGATAACTAATGACGTCACAAGATATGGATAAACAAAAAAAAACAGGGCCATCACACGACTTCAGATCAATTCTGATTAATTATGCATAAATGGAGCCAAATCGAGAAATTATACTATTATTGATATCAACTTATAGTTATTTAAAACAAACTACAATTTTTGGCTCTTTTCCACTTCCCTTTCTCCCACCTTTCATTTCTAATTTTGAAAAACTACTTTAATGTTCTCATAATGCAATCAAACTTGGCATGCTAAACAAAATAACTATTGCGAACAGATTTGATCTTCCAGCTTTACATCGTAACATCACGCATTTTGCAATAATAACACGTAAAAAAACTATCAAAATAGAAAAGTTGAAGGTGCGGAAAAGGGTAAAAGAGCCCAATTTTTTTAGTATAAAATATAACTTTTTTACCCAGAGGCAAAACTGCACTATAGACAAAGTTGATTTAACAGCACAAAAGAGTCTGAAAAAAAAAAATTGAAAGCCGGAAAGAAACGGTTTTAAAATAAGCCATTAAAAAACAAGACGTTTGCTTTGTGAACTGCAGATCATGTGTCTCATGTCCTCGCATGGGCCCCACAGTCGCTTAACAATAGACGCTTAGCAATACATCTATTACCAATAAAGCCTTCAAAAACTTTGCTCTGAGCCGGAATCGATCATTCGAACAGTAGATTATGAGTCACACTCGCTATTTCTAGCTTCTGTAGAAACAATTTAAACACAGAGGCGAAGCTGAGCTAAGCACCACATGCGATAAACAAAGCCAACGAACCTTGACTTCAATTTGATGAAAAGCGTGAAATTTGATGAAAACCTTGAAATTTTGCTACAAATTTGCGATATAGTGAAATTTCTAAAAAAAAAAAGTTAAGTTGAAAAAATTACTTGAAAACGTAACTCAAAAAAATGAAAAACTACGGCTAGAAAAACTTCATGGTTGTATCGAATGACGTTCATAAACAGCCTTAAAAATAACTGGAAATCTTTCACCGAGCGGCAACAAAGCCGACAATATTTGGGTCCAAACTTGTTGGGCCGAAAACAAAACTGTTGCCATAAAACATTTCATGAAGTTAATAAAGTTTTCACGACCCATCCATACTAATCCACATAAACCTATATGAATACATTTTGCCCTCAAAATTACGCAACATAAGTTGACTTGTCCGAAATAACAATCTGCTAAAAAGATAAAAGATAAATCCGCAAAACCAGACTTGGTAAATTTACAAATTATTGAAGTTTCAGTTATAGTAAAAAATTCTTTAAATTGAACAAAACCCATGCATTAAAAAGTAAGCCAATAAAATTTTAGAGGATGAAAAAAATGTGCGTTTAAAAAACGGAAAAAAAACCCGACTGAATCTTCGACGAAAGCCACGAACCCGAAAAAAGAGACTTTTTCGAACAATTAGTTACAAACTGAAACAGTCTTTACCTGATAAATAATTGAATGATGGTAGTTTTATTTGAAATTCTGAAACTTGAAAAGGTCAGAAACGAGACTTTCCAACCAATTCTGAAATGACCATTCTGTGAATGAAGTTGTTTACAGGAAAAATAGCCTGGTACCCGATTGCAATACCCTTGCATATCGCAAGGGTACAAATCTTAAAGATACTATGCTCCAAAAACTTTGGATGTAACTCTTACGATATTTCGGGTCGATATTCTAGGGGTCTAAGGAAGTGGACATTTGTTGGGAGGGAGAGTTCCGAAAAATAAGTAGTGCAGAGTATCTGTTCAGCAAGGTCTAGTAACAACAAGGAAAGCCAATTGTTGATGTGCAATTTGCACAGAAGGTTCCGACTAAATCAGGGTTGACAAGAGAAAAAAAAAACAGTTGTTTTGAAACACTAGTTTTTTGTTTATTGAAATTTTTTTTAAAAAAAGAAAAAGCCCTTCTCATTAAAATTAATATAGTATTTAAAGCATATATGAGTTTTCAGTAGTGACATCAACCACGCTGAATGAAGATGTGCGCTTTGCTTTGATTGTGTTTTCGTATTTAAGCTATTTTTTTTATTTTAACACATATCTAATTAGCGAATTTCTAATGCAGAGAGAACAGTTTCCGAATCCAGTGGGAGGTGACAAAGCTGTGGTGGCAGACAACTTTGCTTAAGCTGTTAGATCAAAACTTTCATGAAATCGCAAGTTAACCTCCGCAACCTATCGGGAAAACTTTGCCAAACCTGATATTCTACACTCCTTGGTACTCAGCTCATAGAGCGTGAAGATGATGTTAAGCACGATGCTTAGCTCTGACCTAAGAAATCTACTTTCAAACGAAAAGAAACCTGCTTTTTGCAACTTGAATGAATTGAATTAAATGTAGTTCTTTTAACTCGATTTTTCATAACTAGATTGTCTCGTGAAAACTGTTTTAAAAAGTCTCGTGGAAAACGCTTTCTAATTTTTTGCCAATATTTGATCAAATTTATGGAAACGAACTGAAACTCTTTTTACATCCAAAAAAGTAAAACTATATTTTTGCCATTTTTGTTGTCTGAATTTCCTGTTACTTTTTTATTAAAACATGCGATTGAATTAGGAGTTAAAAGCAACAAGAAACGGTAATTAAAGTTTAAAAACTATTCAGTACAGCATTAGAAATCAGGAAAAACTAAATTTGTACGGCCAGCATCTCAGCAAACTTCGTCTAATTTTATATGAAATTCGGATATAGAAAGACCAGTTTTTCTTGACACCGAGACATTAATAAAATTTTAAAGCCACCGAATCACAAACAATAACGCTTCATTTTGATTTCAGGCTTTATCCTCAAAACGTTTTCCTTGCGAGCATACGAAAGTGCTAGGAACAACAAGTCTGGTAACAACCAATAGTTTGCAAAAAAAAAACTTTTGTCCGCCATTTTGAATAAAAAAGGTTAAAAAATTTCCTGCATAATGAGAAACTTTACAAAAAGCTTTCAAAATGCTATAAAGACACCGAACCTTTCTTCATACCGAAGCCGACAAAAATGGCAGACACAAAAGTCTAAAATATTTGAAAATTTTTAGTTTGCACAAAAAACAGGTCCCGCAGGAATCGAAGCACCAAGCATGGGTATTAAAAAAACACTCCTTGACTTAATAAAGAAAACAACTTCCAAAATTTTATAGTGAACGGCATGGAAAAATCAAAAAATAGCAAGAAAAAGTAGACAAAACTTCTTGGAACTCAATTTGTTGCCCACAAAACTGGAATACACCAAAAGATTTTTCAATTTGAAACTTTAACAAAAAACTCTGGTTGTTTCAAAGAGCGAATCAATTAGCGAAAAATTAAAAATTTTCCTAGTAAACAATTCACGCGATGAAATAAAATACTTCAACTTAATTCACAGAGCGAATTGTCTCGCAAAAGATTCAAGTTTTTCTATGCAAACTAATTAAATCATGAAACGTTGAAACATTTCCAAGTTATTGCATAGACTGATTTGGTTCGCGAAAAAAGTTTCAGTTTTTCTAAGCGAGCTTTTCAAGCTATGAAACGTTGAAATATCTCTATTTATTTCCTTGGACCGAATCGTTTCGCCAAAAGTTTCTTTCTTAGCATCGAGGTTGCTGTTTTTAGTTGATTAGTTTCGGACAGAAATGAATCTGTTAACGCAAAATTTTGGGGAAAAAATCAGCAGGTACTGTCTAGCCTTGAAGTTGGATCGAGTTCATCTTTCTCTAATGGTTGTTCTGAATGATTCTTAAACGCTATGCTCGATTGAAAAGTTTTTTAAACGTTGCGTCCATAGAGCATAAAGACTTTCACTTAAAATATAAGAAGATGAACCAAAGGTAAAATGATTCAAGCGATTCTGTTAAAATAGTTGTGAACCCGAAAAAGTGTATATCCCGGTTTGATAACGTTCGCTAATTGCAAGCGTAAAAGGATCGACCAAATAAATTTTCCAAGCTCTCCCAAAACTTTATAGAGATCTTGTCTGATAGGCCAATTTTCCAGGCACTTTAAGAAAGGTTTTTTACTAAGCAATCGCGTTAGTTCGGCACGAATTTCCTCCTCAAAATTAGTAAATATGGCACCGAAGACGCCTTTGGAAAAATTTCAGTCTGCCAGCTAGAAATGGATGTCATATAAGGGAAGGAAAAAGTAAATTTGTAATTATAGCCTTCGTAATTGAATGATTTCGTTATCATTCAAGATTTAAACCTGAGTAGATTTGGGTTGAGTTGTGGGAGTGCCCTCTCGAATACGTCTCTGCAGCAGGCGATGTAGAAGAGACACATGGACACAGCAGTGGCAGCCACACTGGGTCTCACCACACTCACCAGTCCCCTCAGCCCCTCCGAGTTCAACACGAACTTGGCCGCCAGTCTCCGGTGACACAGCAGGCCAGACAGAAACTGCACACAGTACAACAAATCATAGCAAACAAGCTCACTAGAAGCACTCATTAGGCCATAAAAAGAGCAAGTTTCACGGTTCGCAGGAAAAGCAAGCATGAAAAATCTTTAGGAAAACTAAACACAGTAAAAAAATGCCAATCAGGTTTTCGAAGATTTTAAGGCCTAAAAGATTCCTTCAGGGACGCATCTAAATTTGAAGGACTCCCCGCCCCCACCTACTTGCACTATCTACACCAACTATCATACTTGTACTCAGGGATGTTCAAAATTTGGCTCTTTTCCAGTCCCCCCCCCCTTTCAAATTCAAATTTGAAAAGTCTATTTAACGTTGTCATAATGCAATGAAATTTGGTGTGGAGAACAAATCGACAATTCTGAACAGATTTGTTCTTCATACATTACAGCGTAACATCACGCATTTAGCCGTAATAACACGTAAAACAAACATAAAACTCGGTATTTTGAAAGGGGGGATTGGAAAAGAGCCCAAAATTTAATTGCAATTAATTTTTTGAGTTTTTTCCAAGGCAATCAATTAATTGTAATGGGGACTTACTATCAATCAATTATTGCAATGTAAACTTTCTCTTATGTAATCTTTAACTTTCTCAATTATTGCAATGTAAACTTTCTCTTATGTAATCTTTAACTTTCTCAATTATTGCAAATGCAACTTTCTCTCATGTAAAACCCCTCAGTCGCTAGACCATAAAACTGACGCCATAAGATATTGGACTGAACGAGTCACATCATTTTTGACTCATAAACAAAAATGACGTGCGGTCTACGATTATACAACTTTAACTCATACCAACCAGGGCTCTTTTGGTACCTTCATTTCAATTTTGAACGGCCGATCTGCAAAACGTAATATTGAATGCATAGTCGGCTTGAATACCAAGCCGTGATAGCTCAGTTGGGAGAGCGTTAGACTGAAGATCTAAAGGTCCTTGGTTCGATCCCGAGTCGCGGCATATCTTTTTCTTTATTTATGTTTTTGTATTATTACTTTTAAACCGAGGATTCGAAACATAATTGATGGTTCTTAACTAATAATTTATTTATTTTAACTATTTTATTTATATCAAGAAATATGCTCGCTTCAACTTATTTTACGGTTTAACAACCATAATTGGGCTGACTTATTTGTCAGCAATAATGGCTCATTTCCGGGTGCAAGTATGAAAGATGGGTCCCGCAAACAAATCTTGCCAATAACTGAAAATATGCGTTTGTTAGAGATAGTCAACCACGCTTGTTCTATTGAAAATTCGATAAATTTCTTTACGAGAAAAGCGGATTATCCGAAGAAATATACCTAATTGCATTGTTTGTAATCGCGAAATGACTGAAGTGAAACGCGGTGAGAAAAAAATTTGGAGATGCCTCATTTGATAACTTATTAAAGGACATTTCAGAATGGTATTCTACCCCTTAATTAAAATTTATGCTGTGCAAACCGTTTTTTCATTAGGGACCCACCTATATTTTTGGGACCCAACTATCATACTTGTACCCATTTCCGCTCCCCCTTTCAATTTCCTAATTATATAGTAGTTGGCTCTTAAGAACTTTCCATTTAAAATTTGAAAGACGCACCACTTCTGGATTAAGAAAATGTCAAACACATTCGTCTCGATTCCCTGACTTTTATAACAACTAATAACATGCAAAAGGTGCCAGTTTTCTGGTTCATATCACGGTCTTACCCTGAGTGCTTCGAAAGTGAGTCGGATATCCTTGTGCAGATTGACCTCCAGGTAGAAATCGATCAGCTCCAGACTCTGCTCCTCCAGAAATATGGACAAGAGCTTAAAAAAAAGTTTAAAAAAGAGCTAAAAAGTCGGGTTAGAAATGCGCTGTTCATTACATTACGAACAAACCCGCCTATAGATTAAAGCGCTTCAAAAAAAGTACCGAAAAAATGAACCCCTGAAACCAAATGGCCACCAAAATTGAGGGAAGAAACACTCCCCTTACACACCTGCGCGCCTTCGTTAGATGAGCAATTGTACGAGCCGTATATATTCGATTTCGAATTCAAGACCAAAAATGTTCCACTGAACTCCTTCAAAATGTAAATTTGAATCCAGCTAGCTGTAAGAGAAAAGAACCTCAAACGTACCTCCTGATACTCCGCGAGTGGGGTCAGAAACTGCAGCAGGATCCGCTGCTTCATAGTTATGGTCAGAGGCTCCAAAGAGTAGGTGCCAATGTAAAATTGCCCAACATCCGCCCAGCTGTTACTATTATCTCCTGCCTCAGCAGATGTCTTCACCACACTGGATTCCTCAGGTGTTAAGCTGGTGGGCTTCAGTTGCTCTTCGATATTGTTAGTGGGTGAGAGTCTTCTGGTCTTTTTACGCACTGAGCCGTCTTGGCCGTTGCCAGGAGTAGACAGAGGCCTTTTATTACCTAAAAAAAAGTTTTGAGAATCAGTACCAATAAATCCAGAAGCGTGTCGAGGGGGGGGTATGGGGTGACTGCTCCCCTCCCCCTCAATTCTGGCTGGTTGCTAAATTTTTCCAAATGGGCCTTGTGTGCCAATGTAACTAAATTTGAAGGGGAGCGCGCTGAAAAAAAACTTTTGCGCACACTGTTTGATAAGTGGTCAAACAAAACACTTTTTTTAAGACCATTTATCCACGAGGGAAAGGACCAACATACGAGCTGTACAGCTCATCACGGTGAACCTCTGTTGTGCTCCTGCTTAAGAATTATGTATTGGTTATTTTTCTGGGCTGGATAATGTTGCCTCACCCTCAGCAACGAGCACGGATCATGGTCGGCTTCGAACATCCGACCTTTCGATTGAGAGGCGGAGACGTAACCACTTCACCACCGCTCCTCTTCACCTCACCACCTCCGAATTTTAATAAATATTTTATTAAATTTAATTTACTTCCTTTCCCAGGAGTTGGTGTAGTTTGATTTCTGCTGCTACCAGCTACAGCCGAGGTTGATTTTGAACTCATGGGTGTCGCAGTTGTATTCGCACTAGTGCCGACAGGTCCCAAGATGTTCCGAGTAGTGGTCGCGACATTCGTGTGATTCGCCTGTCTCGTGGGAGAGCGAGAGAGATGGGCGAATGGTCTTTCGTTCTCATTCAGCCTAGCACACATCTCTCTTTTCGTCTCCTCTTTCAACTTGTGCAATTGTCGTAGAGCAGATGAAGCCTAAAGTTAACAATAAAAATCAGAAGCCTAAGTTTAAAGGTTCTTTTGTAAACTTTTGGCGGAGAGCTATTGAAGTTTTACAGGGTTTCTATAATCCACGTCACTAAATTTAAAGCGAAAGGCAACTGATCGAGTAGGAAGACAATTCAAGATATATATGTAAATGTCAGCTGTCCTAATTTGAAACCCCTTGCTCTTACCAGTTGTTCAAAGGGGGCGTGGTTTGAGGAGTTGCTAAATGGACACTCGACAGATGATCCCTGAGCGAGGAGAGCCAACACATAATACTTCAGGTTGTCACTGTCTCCTTCGTAGTTCGTCTCCCTCGCTACACTGATCAACTTCTCCAGAAGACTACCCTGAACAGAAAATTAAAGAAAAATTGGCATATATTTGAGCCTTAAACCAGCAGACACGCTTTGTAATCTCTGCATAGCCTTTTCGGTCAACAAATCTAAGCGACGTCAAACAATATAAAGCTCATTTTGTCATCGAAAATCGTGTAGAAATGGTGTCCGAAAATTCTGTTTTTATATAGAAGATAACATGATCAGGTTCACTTATTTTGCCAATAAATTGGCATGAACTATATTATGAATACTTTTACACTTAGGCTAATGATTTAGCTGATTGCACCGTTTCAGTGCGTAAAATGACTAACCGTCTCTCGCATGTTGTCGCTTTCGAATGTGAAGGATATGGAGGCAGGGAGTATGTTGTAGAGCAGTCTGCAGGTCAGTCCCAATGTCACCCTACTCTCCCCCTCCCTCTCACTGGACGGGGGCAGAATGTACATGTCTATCAGCTGCAACAATCACAAACAATCCAATCAGAGCATATCATCTCACATGACAAACACAACACGACAGTTCAGAGTAAAACGTTTAACATTCAAAACTAGGCATATTAGCAAAACCGAAAAAAAATTGATTTACTAGCTGTAAACCTAAATAGCAAAGAGTTGACGCGATAACAAAAAATTTCAATTATTATGTAATATTTTTAAATTATTATGCTCCCTTCCTTCGGCATGGTAATGAATGTTTCGAAACACCAAAAACCTCAAAATTTGGAGAGATTTCCACCCAAAACTTTTATACATTTTTAATAGACTCGTTTTATCTGAATGCTTCTAGAAACAAAACAGAATTGAATGTATTTTGGTACCTTTTCGATGTACAGTTCATCAATTTCTGACATGATTCTTCCAAATGGACTTGTCGAATACTCCGCATTTTGCTCATCTAAAATAAAATGAGTAAAGCGAGCGACTAGCGTGACTTTTTACTATGCTAGAAAAATAACCAACGAGCTGTGAAAAATCAATTTTTGATGATTCAGTTAGCACTTTCCAAGCGCTTAATTTCAAAAAATCATAAAATATCTATATTATTTATCTTTTTTTTTACATAAAACTTCTTAGGTCGAAACCTTCTGCGCTACTTGCACAAAAATCGGCCACACTTAATTGCTTAAAAGTTGGTTTGTATGTGCTTCTTTTTTTACCGGGCTGTCTGTCGTCGAATGGGTCTGGGTCTAGTTTGTAATATTCACACACTTCCTGCTCCACCAACTCAGACATCCTGAAACAATATGGGCACACTAGAAATAGGCTGCCAATTCTGTATTAATTATCAATTAACAATTAGCAGAACAGTGATTTCTATCCTAAGCATCTTAAATACAGTAGTAAACTACATAGGTGATACACCGAAAAAAAACAAGTCCATTTTTCAATTTATTCGAAACTGGCATGCAGTTTAACGCTCATCAACTTGCCGGTGTTTTGCACAGTTGAACTAATTAAGATGGACTTTGTTTTGCACAGTGTAACTAAATAAGATAACAACTGCAACTTTTCTATATTTTTGCTCTAATTAATGAACTTTGCAGAATATTTACCGTCTTAGAGTGTCAGCGAGATTGTCTGGCTCCTGGTCGTTGTCCCACAGCGCCTGTAGAGACCGGAACTCCTCAAGAGCATCCGAGTATCCCTCCTCCCCTTCCTCCTCATTCTGCATCTCTTCTACATTTGCTAATGTATCTTCGTCTTCATTTTCCTCGTCATCTTCATTGATGCCTTCTTCTCCCAATTCGCCCGGGTGAGATTCGTCGAAGTGATTATGAGCTTCTTCCTCATCCATATTAACCAAAAGCCATCAACACAAACTGAAAAATTTCAAATTAATTTAATTCCTATTCAGATTCAAAGCCAAAAAGAAAAGACTCCACGTCTAAATATTCTATGCTTCAATATCTATAATCTGCTAAAAACACAGGTTTTGAACAAAAATTATTACTTGAACCGAAAAACTATTTCCACTTTTTTGCTTTTTCTATTAACTGCTTCAAAATATAGAAGCTAATTGGCGAGTGAAAATAGAATATTAACACATGGTCAAAGTAATGCTTCGTAAGACCAGAAATACAAAAATGATGGCATAAAATAATTTTAAGTTCGAAAATTCATTTGGAAATTAACTCCAAGAGAAGCTCCAGTGAAATCCAGCCATTCGCTTACTCTAATTGCAAAAAAAACTTCTGATGAATTAAATCCCGACGAAGTCACTAGACAAAATAGGAAACATCGGTTTATTTTAAACACATCGATTCGAACTTACTTTTTTGCGTTTCTTCAGCCTGCAAAATTTTGCATAAATATATTGCAATAAGGGTTAAAACAAAATACAAAATTTTTCATTATTCCAATTTATTTTCAGAAATCAAGTGTACCGCAAGTGATAATTATGTTCATAGAATGAAATGCATTTCTAATTTGAAAAATTATGATTTAACAGTGAGTTTTTAAAAAACAACTGTTTCATTCTGATATGCAAAAGAGACAAAAATGTAATTCTCAATTCTAAACGTTGTTCAAATTTAGATTCTGTTACGACAATTATTTTTTTGCCTTGAAAAGGAACTGCAATCACATACGCAAGTATATAAGGAGTTTTTCTCGGTTCTTCGCAACAAAAACTGCCAGCTGAAACTGGGCACGAGAGTTTTGCTCAGCTCAGTTATCCGTATCAAAAACTGCCCATCCCTAGAATGGGGTTTACTCAGTACTGTCAGAAGGGAAAGCCACAGTTACTGTTTTACGGACTAGGCGAAACAATCAATCAATCTCCACAATCTTCGGTTGTGGAGTACTGAAAATGAACAACAACAAAGACGCGAAATGGACGACCTCTTTTGCAGCTACAAACAACAACCACACAGACGCAAGTTAGCCTATAGTTCCTAACTTACGCTACTCCTTCTATTCAAACCCTGATTAAAATCTGTGATTCATAAGAAACAGGATAATTCTTGAAAACAAGGTGCTGTTGTTAATCTATGAGAACCAACTTTTCTCCCCGGAAGCACAAATGAAATTTAAAACTGTAGTTCTTCAAACGTCAAACTATGAGGCAACATAACAGATATAACATCAGCCGAAAAAAAACCTCAAGCATAATAAAAATTCAAATGGAACCGCCACTAAAATGCAAAAATGCTCATAAAATGTCTGTAGCTAGATATTCTGTTCTGCTGCCAACAGACAGCCCAAGCTAACTGATTCAACTGATTTTGTTAAACTAAAGGTCAACATGAAAAGTGTAATTAGCTTCCGATTCTAGCCATAAAGTATAACGACTCAAATCTTACTTTTCCCTTTAGCAATTTTTGTAAAAGTTTGTTAATTGCGTGAACCATTTCGGAAACAAGTGTTATAGAAAAATCAATTTTGCACCCTATGGCTGGTTACTATCAATTGATTTTATTAGTTCCCAATCTAGTCTAAAAATGTGATTACCAAATCCCAGAAGTTTTTCTTTATAAATACCCGAAATATAGATACTTTTTCTTTTTGAAAATTTGATTATTCTTTTCGACAAGTGCATACGTCTTCGTTTTGATTATGTATTCAAAAACTGACATCATCTGAACGCTTGCTACTTTGAGATCGTTTATTTTGAGTCAACCAAATAGAAATTTCCGCTGGAAATAGTCATATATAAAATCAGGGGCAGATCTAGGATTTTCTCGAAGGGAAGGGGGGCGGATTTTCAAAAAAAAATCTGAAATTTTTTCGGCCAATTTTTAGTTCTACCAATTTGTTTTTTTTTCAGCCCTCCTAAATCACTATGAGGACCCTATTTTGACAAAAAAATTTGCGCCAAAGCCAATTTAAAAAAACAGTCCAAAAAAGGCGTTGAGGCACTTTTTGTAAAAGTTTGATAAAAAAAATCGTTTTTTCGGCGCGCGATCCACCATCATAATAAGTCTAAAAGAGAATTTTTCGGGTCGGTCGGCCAAAAAAAATATATCAAAATAGTAAAAAGGGGGACCCTTTGAGTCGGCAGCCCCCCTCCCTCTCCCTAAATCTGCTGGCGTGTAAAATATAAATATTGCTTCTTTAATAATGACAGGACAGACTATGAATGGGCATATACAAATGCCCGCTGTCTGTCCCCTCTAAAATACTAATGAAATATTGATACCAGTATTGCATTTCTACTATTTTCTGAGTTGACTTGCTTTGAAATTTGTTATTCGCCTAGTAATGAACAAATTTTCTTTCTTTTTATAAATCGATTTTTATTCAAATAAACATAGTAATCGATTCGGCTCAATATTAAAAAACAAGTTTGTGAAGTTTCATGTAAACGATATTTATTACTTTACTAATGAATGATTGCATGTGATTTAATTTTATGCGCTCTTCACTCAGCGTATTCTACAAGATAGTTTTAAAATGGATTTTCTCGATACTGTAAAATTATTCATTGCAGCTCGAATGGCGTCTGCAAAGGCTTCAAAAACTCATGCAATCTGACTTTATTCTCAATGACTGATTGTGAGATAAAACACTGAAGTCAAACTACACGCAGCCTACGTTCGGAACACTTATATAACGTTTCGATAAACAAATTTCTCATATGTAAAAGAAATGAATTGAAAGTGGAGAAAAAGCTCATAATAAATCTGTATTAAATCTTCCGACTAAATGCAGTTCTCGAAAGAACAAATATGCGACGGAGGAGACCGTAAATTGTTGGGATATTTGATGTAGAATGATGAAAAAATCAAGTTCGCTTTAGTTGACCATGGGAGGTTGATTGAATACGCAAAACAACAGCAGAAAATTTCATAACCGACGCTCGTGATAATCTCTAAAATCAAAAACCATTTTCTCAACAAATTCGAAAAAACTACGCAATGGAAAATAATGATTTTCATAAACAAAAAAAATGTTCAATTTTTCCTGCTCTCTATTTCAAGTTTCAAGCAACAGCCGACAGACAGTTGAAAAAGAGTCAATGAACGCAAGGAGACGAGACAGAAACAAAAAACACTTATTTTTCAAAAATGTTGGAATTTCAAAATAAAAAATACATTGTCTTAAAGCTCTTTGAATTTCAAGAACAATTTATGACTGGCATATTTTTGATAAAATTAATTTAATTTGAGACAGCTGGATGAAAAGGTTACGTTTTTTTTCCGCAAGGAGGTCCAAAAATCAACATCCACTTTCGAAACTTGAAGTCAACCACGTTTTTCGATGTTGCTCGATAGTGGAGTTTGCCTTCCTTCTGACAAAAATGATCTGAACCTTCAAAGAAATCAAAGTCAAACCGCGAAATTTGAACGTGAACAAAACTGATGGTTTCCTTTGAAAAAAAAAAACAAAAAAAAAGAAAAACCTTCGATAGTAGATCTTATTGCAAAATCGGCTTAGGGTTTAAAGACATATTGTTTTAAATTTGGATATGGATTTCAATTGCGCGTGAACAAATTTTAAGACTTGTCTTAAAAAAAAACTTTTAAAAAATCATCACGATCTATATAAGTGTCTGGACTACGTTCATCTGCTCTTAAACCGCATGTAAGGGAGCAGAAAAAAGTCATCTTTCGATGCTATTTCTGCGACTAGTATTGAATATCGCAGCTTCTTTCTATCTGATAAATTCTACAAACGACTGATACAAGCCGGAGGTTCTTCAAAATTTTTTCTTCTTGAAATGAAAAAACCATTTATGCTTTTGTTCTTCGAGAGCTTAAAATCAGCTTCCTTGGGGAAAACAACCTGAAAGGCCTCTTTGAAAGTAAAATAATCCACAAATCACCAAAAAAAGAACAATGAGCGTAAGCTCAAACCTACAAAAAAATTTCAATTATCGACAAACCAGGGTGGAAATGAGTAAAAAACAGTTAAAAGCAGAATTAAAAACATGTTTAAACACAGAGGCGAAGCTGAGCTTCGCAACACTTCCGAGATACAATAAAATTCCAAAAAACAAAAGATAATGCGTCTCAAACTTGAAAAGCTTGAATGAATTTTGTTGAAAAAATCGTAGGCTAAAAATTCACGAAAAATTTTATTGCAAATGTTAAAGAAATCAATTACCTCCAACACAACAAAAGGATTTGGGCTTAACTCTATCCATTTCTTTCTGATAAACAATAGATCAAAACGATAAGAAATTATTTCAGTCAAAAAATTGAGATACAAAAAATCCCAGATGTACTCGAAAACTGTTCAATAAATCTTGCAACCAAACAATCTGCATATCCAACAAGAACAATCAGGAGTGAAAGGTCCTACCCGCCAACTGCTATAAAATGAGATCTAACTGCTATAAAATGAGATATAAAATTTCCAGAAAATGAATGCAAAAATTACAAACAATTGCCACAGAAAAGACTTGCCGTAAATCTGAAAAAAATATATGACAATAACCCAATTACATCAAGAATTATCAATAATGAAAATTTTTCACAACGGAAAAAGAGCTAGATCACAACAACAAAAAAAACATTGGAAAAAAGGAAAAGAAATAAAATAAATGCAAATTTTTTTTTCAAAAGAACCACACTCCTGGAACGATTTCGAACTAGGACCTTAGCCGTCTATTAGTTGCCGTAACCAGTAGTCAAATTTGGCTTTTCAAGAAATTGAGAATTGAATGCGGCACGAATGGTAACTGCATAATTCGTGCAAAGTTGCCGCCACATTCCTTTGCAGACAAAACAGTCGAGTCAATCTTGCAAAAAAAATTGGAAATATATCAATTTTTTTGACATATTGAAACAATACGTTAAGCCATCAACTTCAATTGATTTCAAAGAAAGTTGCTCAAACCTAAGCCACACTTAACTAATTAAAACTTAAACTAATTTCACGCACTTTTAGAGCAAAAAAATCACAAACCATGCATCCGAAAAAAAAACTGAAAGATTTTTGCAAAAAAAAATGCAGGAGAAAAATTCAATTAAGTTTCATTTCTGTCGCCTATAAAAACCAGAAAACCATAAACTATATCTGACCTCACGAAAATGAAGAAACAAGTAGTTGAAGATAATATCAAAAAATACAGCATTAAAAACCTGGCAAGAAAGCCAACAAAAATTGGGTCGAAATCAATAAAGCCGACAAAAAAAATTACACCTAAAAAAATTTCAGTTGTAGAACAATTATCAATTCAGTCTTTTAAGCCAACAGTTGAATTTCAGTTGTTAGACGTGCAAATTGGATAGAAAGAGAGATGCATTTGGAGATGATCACAAATTTTAGTCATCCTGTGGACAAAGTTGTTTACGGGAAAAAAGTCTAGTACCCGATTGTAATTCCCTTGCTTATCGCAAGGGTAACCAAAATGAGAAATAAAACGATTCTATCGAAATTTATGATGCGCTAGTGGTGACGCACGTTTGATTTCGCAACATGTTTAGCCGCACTTCTGTTGTGCCAGGTCCTTGCGAAAGCAACTGGATGTGGAAAAGCAGGAATGACTTTTTGTATAAACATTTGAATTGTTGAATTGATTGTTTCAGGAGGGCCTTTTTGAAACATGTTTTATCGTATAATTGTATGAAAAACCTTTCAAATTTCCACCCTGCGACAAACAAAGGTAAAATATTTAGAAAACTTAAGCGAATGATCAGAAATATCTCTTGAAGCTTCCAGAGCAGGCCAATAGGAAAGGATTATACTGAATTACGATTAGCCTAACCAGCAATTCCTTCGCATGAATTGAAAAATTAAACAGATGCGACCTCCGACAATTGGAACCTGGGACCTAGAGATTAATAGATTCGCACCCTAACCATTCAGCCAGGGAAGCTTAATAGATATCAAACACTAGTCACAAATTAAGCAGAGAACAGATGCTATACAATTTCCACTTCTACATTGGAAGTTCCAAATAAAAGAGCACTTTCAATGAACTCTTTTATTAGATTATCAATGAGTTAGATTAGAAAAAAAAGTGCGCCTTAACACACTAAAAAGATAGCAAGTGTAATCAGTCCAAGGAAAATAACCAAAAAAGGGAAAAAATTAATTGGACAAAAACAGAAAAAATAGCCCCAGCCACTTACTTTCGACCACTTAAGAACACGAGGTCTCAAATTTATATGCAACTTCGGTTGATTTAGTCCACCAAAAATTGAGACGAAGAACGGTAAGTAAAAAAAATGAAAATTGCAACACAGAAGCGAAGCGGAGCTCCACACCACATGCGACACCAAAAAAGAAAAGAAAAATTAAAACTCATAATAATTACATCTACAATTTTGGTTTCCAACTTTTGTCTCAAATGATGTCCATTTTGAGGATAGCACGCCCAACAACTCAATCACCGACAAAAAATAAGTATTTAAAAAAATTAAGCGAACAGTAAGTAATTCGAAAATACTTGGGTGAATGCCCGTTGCGCCAAAAACATTAGAAGGAAATTTTGAATGAAAAATTTTGAGCTACAATTTCTGAAACTTTTTACGGCCATCCTCTTTCGGAAAAACGCAAAATGAAGAAATTCTTTTTTCTGCTTCATAAAACTCAAATATAGGTCCATAAGCTGATAAAACATTTTCCGAGACTGTTTCGGCCGAATTAAGTTTCTAAGCGGAAAAAAATAAAATAACTTATACGAAGTCAGTATTTATATTAGCAAATAACATAAACGAATCAAACATAGGCAACTGACAGTTGGAAACTAAACATGAACGCAAGGAAACTGAAAAAAAAATGACTTGTTTTTTCAAGAGCCTTCAACTTTTGATTTTAAAAGAAAAAAAACAGATGGCCTTAAATCTCTTTGCATTTGTAGAAAAACTTATTTTGGACAGTTTTTTGTTAAAATCAACCCAATCTGAAAAAACTTTTTTTTCGCTGGGGAACCTGATAATTAATTTCCATTTTCGAAATCAGAAGTCGATCACGTTTTTCGTGACCTTCAACTTTTACTGTTTGATAGTGGAGTTTGCCTTCCTTTTAACAATGGAAATCACAAGTCAAACAGCGAAAAATCAAAACTGAGCGTGAACAAATTTTAAGACTTTTTCCTGAAAAAAAAAACAGAAAAAAATCAGCAAGACCTATATAAGAGTACTCACTACGTTCGTTACTCTTTCGATTACAAACACTTTCGATTACAAAAAAATAGCTTGCAACACAAGATAGGCAAGCAATGCGGAAACTAAGCCGACAAAACATCAGCACACAACCGATAGAACGATGATTTTTTGATACACAATATTTTGGGATTTGAAAAAAAAAACAGGTGATAAACGATTTCGAGCTAGGACCTTAGCCGTATATTAGTTGCCGTAACCATTAGTTAAATTTGACTTTTCAAAAACCATCTTGCCTAAAAAGTATGTATGTAGCAAAGCAAGTTCTGTAGCCAAAGGTTGAAAATTGTCTCTCAAACAAGCAAACCAAATCATAGCCAACAGACAGTTGGAAAACAGCCAATGAACGCTAAGAAACACAAAAAAAAGAGAAAATTGTATGGCCCTATGTTCTTTCACTTTTAAAAACTATATAAAATTTAAGCAAACATTATTGATCAGTTTAAAACAAATAAAGAAAACGGGATCAATATCAAAGTTTTTTGCTTGATAAATCTGAAAATTAAAACTCACTTTTGAAACTAGAAATCAATCACGTTTTTTGTGTCACTGACTCTCTTATGTTCGATAGCTGAATTTGCTTTCCTTGTAGCAACAGATCTTAACTTAAAAATAAAACAAGAACAATAAAAAAATCAGGAACAAATTTTGAACTTTCTTGGAACAAACCATCACTATCTATATAATAATCTTTACTACGTTGAATGAACCTTAATAAATTCAGCAGTTTGGGGTCAGTTTTTGTTTACCCAGCTGCACTCGAGCCTCTAGCTCTCTTAAGAATTTTAAAAATCTTTTATTCAAAATTTACTCAAACAATCCTCTAAATAATGAATGAGAACTATACTATTTCCTCAAAGTTTTACTTATTATTAAAACAGATTGACATTTAAAGACATAACGGTAATCTAGGAACAATGTAAATTGAGATTAGATTATGCATCCAGCTGTTATTAAGCTTGTTCTCAAAGCTGCTTTGCTAAATTTAGGAATTAACACCGGTGTTTAAAAGGTTCTTGAGGTATATTTAACGCTAAAAAAGTTTGCAAAGGTGTTATCTATCCTACAATGGAATATAGTGCCCAACACGAAATTTTGTCAATTGAGCGCCTTATTTTCCGCCCGTTGCATAGAGTAGTAATTTTGACCTGAGCTAATTTTGCTAATTACAATCATATTCAAAACATCAGTGAGAAGGCTTTTGCTATTGCATGACCCTGTCATATGCTCACAAACTTTTGAATGTTCAGTTTTTTGACATTTAATGACTTTTTCTTCGATCAGTTTTTTTTTCCAGCAGTGTCAAAACCCTCGATTGTCTCTACTTTCCACAGTTAATTGCTGCGAGAAAATTGGCCTTTTTTGAGCCTTTTCTGTAAGATATTTGCGCGCTGATCTCTCAAAGTTATCGTATATTGGCACCACAGGCGCTATTGCTAAAATTTTGAGGGCAAATCAATCAAAAATGAATGCAGTTGAATATCAGTCATAACACCCTTCTTGAAATTTCAAGGAGTGGGATTCCCATTTAGCTGCACGCAACTGGTTTCGCAGTTGCTCTTTTAAGGATACTATCTTGCGTTTCAGATGTCTTGAAGCTGTCAAAAACCACGAAAAGTCAGCTGTGTCCAAATGTTAATTAAAGAAAGAACTTCGAATTGCCATATTTCATCTTTAAATTTATAAACCATCAAACAATAATTAGACCATCAAAGAAAGACAAAACGCTCTAAGCAGGAAAAATCAATAAGTTTTGAGAGATCGAGCATCAATATTAACAGCACATCAACTTGGCGTACTTCAACAAATGCAACGCTTCTATGAAAAAAAATCACGTTGAATCTATTTTTTCTTTTTCTTTTTACTTTTCTTCGAATTAGCCTCGTGATGATCTCTATCGCTATAATCCGAATGCCGATCGTCGTAGGATTTGCCTCTTGATCTACTTCTGTTCTCCTCTCTATGAGACGATCTTCTACGTTTTGACTTTCGTTCACTTCTTCTATCAACGTGAGAGCGAGATCTGCTTCTAGTTCTACTTCGTGATCTAGACCTCGAACGACTCCGACTGTCACGATCGGTTTTCCGGCTGCTCATTTTCTTTTTGACTGACTTTGATCCACCTTCTTCAGCGTGGCTTCTACCATTTTCAGAACCACTTTTAGATCTCGACTTTCTTCTCTTACTTTTAATGCTACTTTTCTTTTCTGGGCTAAGTGGAGAACGATCTCGATCCCTATGTTCATGCTTGCTTCTGGACTTGCTTGACGGCTCATGATCATCGTCTCTATTTTTCTTTTCTGACTTTTTTGCACTTCGCTTCTCATCACTTCTAGACCTTGTTGACCTGTGCCGTTTTCGATCTGACTTACTGGCAGTCCTAGAACTAGAACCATTCTTAACTCTTTTTTCGGGAGTTTTTTGCCGCTCCGCGCTTGGCGATTTTGATTTTTCGTGCGTGCTTTTTTTATTCTTTTGTGAACCTAAAATCTCTCTATCGCGATCAAGACTCTTTTGTTTATCTGTTGCTTCAAATCGCTCTCGTATCGATGGCGGTAAGCGATTGTTTGAAGAACTTAATTGCAGATGTTCGTTACTACGAGAGCGTGTTCTTTCACGGTGGTCAGCGGTTCTGTTATTTTCGGTCTCTACCTCACTTATGCGTCGGTTCCTCGGATATCGATCGAATTCCAAGTCACTGTCCGATTGACGAGGCGCAGACCCTCTTGATTCGCTATCACTTCTATCGTAATCGATTCTAAAATCCTCTCTTACTTTTGGGCGCTCTTTACGCTTAGCCCCGTCGTAGACTTCTCTTGCGACGCTTTCAATTTCCTCGTTTGTGACAGCGAGAAGAATTTCTGTCAAAATTATTTTCGTTCTTTTAAGTAACTTTGCCTCTTTTTCTTCTTCGGTCAAAAATGGAGAAGGACTCCGCTTTCTTTGTGATTCATTTAGTCTTTGTCGCAAATCAAACCCAGAGCCAACCTCAGGAGGCGATCTGGACCTAGATCTGGAATGAGAAAAAGACCTCCTACTATTCAGGCGATCTCTATCGTCATTTCTTTCATAACCGTCTCGTGGTACATCATAATACCTTCTAGTTGGCATTGCACTATTTTGACTGTGTTTTTCCATAGAACTCTCATTTTGCTCAAACAAATTACGTTGATTCGATACTTCATTTCTCAATTTTTCTTTTTCTGCTTTTTTTGCCTTATCGGCTTCTAATTTCTCCAGCTCTTGTTTAATCCAGAGTGGAACATGTTTTTTCTTCTGCCCGTCTTCCATGTCCTTTTCTCCGTTCATCCCTGGACCTTTAATACCTCCCGGCAATTCATTTTGTGGAGTCAGCCAAGAACTACCTGGATCGTTAGGCGGAGGATGCCTGAACCCTGGATGTGGACCAGGTCCTCGGAAGAAACCTCCTCTGTTGAATCCACCCCTATAAGGTTGCCCACCAAAATGAGGAGGCGGTGGACCCCTTGGTGGGTATCCTCCTGGTACGTGAGGGGGAGGAGCACCGTGATACCCAGGCGGTGGAACTGGAGCACCTTGGAATGGCGGTGGGTAGTACGGCGGGTATCCGTGAGGCGGTGGAACTGCAGGCGGGTATGCGGTGGGAGGGTATTGATTTGGAGGGTACGGTGCCGGAGTTGCCAATGGTGTTGGTATAAGTGCATCTGAATGCGTGCTTTGAGGAGCTGAAACAACATTGCTAGACGCCTCGCTTTCCATTCCCGGAGGAACATCGTCTCCTGGTGGTACAATTGAAGATGGTTTCTGTGAAGGTATAATGGACCGCTGTGAAACTTCAGGTTCAACATCAACCCCAGGAGCTTCTTCGTCGTTGTCTTCGCCTGGAGGTTTTTCCACAACTGCAGTACGATTAAAATTTGGCGGCGGCACTGGAGCTCCGTAAACTTTAGAAGAGTCCGCAGCTGCTGCTGGAAAAAGAGCCCCTCCCGAATAAGGTGGACGAAATGGTGGTTTAATTGCTTCTGTTGGGGGTTTTTCGAGCACCGGTGGAATGTATCCCAGATCAGACGGGAGTCGTTTGTCAACATGTGGGGTGTGAACCGGGAAAGGGGGTGCATGGCTTCCTGGTGGGAAGTGAGAGTAAGGGTGTGCAGCGCCTGTTGCTCCCTGCTGATTGGCCCACTGGGCAGCGAGTGCACCCCAGTCTACGTTACCATTGGACATATCTGCAAGTTCGTCATTTTAATGTGATAAATATCACAATCACTATTTTTGCCACATATTTTCCATTCACTGTTTTTTTTTGAACAGAAGCGAAGCGGAACTTCGCAAAATTTCCAAAACAAAAAATTAACACTGAAAAAGGACCGGTTGATTTGCAACAATCATAGAAAACTCTGATAACGAGAGAAAGCGGAGCTTCGCACTACTTGCAATATAACAGAAATACCACAACAGCTAGCTGAAAAAAATGAGAATAAAAAAAATTGAAAAACGATCGAAGAATTGCAGTACAATTTTGCCCAAATGCAGTACAATTTGAGGAAAGATGCTGAGAAACACACCGGCCAGTGTTAAATACGCATTGAAAAACATAATTTTGACAGAGGCAAAGCAGAGCTTTACACCACATGTGCTACAACAAAAAAGGCACAGCAGCTAGCCCAAAAAAAGACCAAAGCATGAGTCGGAAAGAAGACAGATTTTTTAAAATTGTTTTTTGTTTGTCTGGAATGCGGTTTAATTAGAGGAAAGACAGCGCGAAACACGATGAACTATGATGCAACTAAGCATATATATATTTTATAATTATCCAGCAAGAGGCCCAACCCGAAGGTTAATTATTTAAAGTTAACTAAGCTATGGCTATCTTACAAGAGCTCACCTTGTAAATTGCAGAACATCAGTCGAAGTTTTTTAAGCCGAAAAAACAGTTAATTAAAAAAAAAAACGAAAACAAAAATAGTGAACAAATGAAACTAAAAATAACAGACAATGAAAATTCGAATGAAACCGCTGTTTAAAATGCAGGCATGCTCAAAACATATCTCACTACCTGACCTTGTTAAACTAGTTGTTTACCTGAAGCATTTATTCCGATTTGATAATGCTTGCTAATCGGAAAGTTATCATGCGGAACACAAATGAAAATACATAATTATGTCAAATAAGCAGATATAAAATCAACCGAAACCATAAAACCTTTGAGCAAAAAAAAAACAAGAAAAAGCGAAAAAAGTAGAAGAATTAAATTGGTTTACTTTCAATAATAAAAAAAACTGGAATAGAGCCGAGACTTTTTTTGAATAAGTCTGCATTTAAAATCGCGGTTATCTCCGAATTTCTTTATTCTTGAATGTAAACAAAGTTTTAAAAAACCTGTCTGACAGATATACTGCTGCCCCGAATGAGGTGCTTCCACAAAACTGTTGTCCCAAATTTTTGAAGTGTTTTGTTGAACTAATTATTAACCCACAAAACTCTACACCGATTGGATTACGTTTGCTAATCGCACGCGTAAACACTTCAAATTGAAAAAAAAAAACACATACATCAAAGAAAAACAAAATCGAAAAAATGCTGGTCATACAATTCCCATATTATGGGATTTGAATGACTAGCGCTTATGAAAGCAAAAATTTTCGTACCGTTAAAATTTTCCAAAGAGGCGAAGCTGCGCTTCGCATACACAAATATATGACCGATAACGCTACTGGAAAAAACTGAATGAGTAAAACTTTGAGTCAGGATTGCCAAGTGATGCAAGCCAATTTTGACGCATTAGCAGTACCGGTCAATTTGAAAAAAAAAAGAAATTTACCAATAACTAGTATACGAAAAAGTTCATTAAAAACATCCGACCCGGCCCAGGTTCGATCCCTTTTCTTGTTGCGGGTCTCCTTCCCTACCTCTACGCTACAGATCCATGATGCCTTGAAGCAAAACTGCTATTTGTAATATAACAGTCTGCGTTAATATCCTAAGCATTGGCTGTACTTAATAGCTAGCTATTGATCAAAATGAACACTTTCAAAATGAACACATTTTGTCGCAACATTATTTGCGACTTAGCTTGGAAAAAAGAGAGGCCATACTATCACACAAGCTTTGCTTGTGAAAACACGTGCGAATCACAGATTTGCGCGACTTGCGATAACAGAAATGTATGACTATGCTCATAGGAAGACAAATCGACAAATCAAACATGTAATTTTTAACGAGCGGCCATCCCCTTGAAATACTGGAAACGATAAAAATCTATTTGTGCCTTTTAAATTATGCAAAGTAGAAAGACAAAGACGGTAAAACCTAATCCGAAACCATTTGATCGAAAACGAGAAACATAATTTATTTAAAAACAAGAACAGAAAGACCGAAAAAACTCGGATTTTCACTATTCGAGTAGTTTAAGTTTTAAACAGCAGAGCCCTATCAGTTGTACAGTGCTGATTCAAATTAACCTGACAAAACAACAATGATAACTTCAAAAGCGTTTTTCTCAAATTAAGTTAAGGGTGTGCAGCGCCTGTCTAGTTGTTCAAGTTTTCACGAGAGACCAACTGAAACAGAGTTAACAGCAAATAAGCATGTCCTGCCCGAAATAGAACATCTGAAGGGTAAAATATCGGGTTAGGAACTAGATTCACTCAGGGCGGTGCTAAATCAGAATGCAGACGTTTTTCGAAGCATAAGGCCGACATAGGTTGTTTTTAAGCAAAGATTTTGAGTTTTATTAAGTAAAAATTACCTTTTCTGGCTATCCAGCAAAAATACTTACTCTTACAGCCTTTTGGAGATTTAAACCATTCTATAAACTTGTTGGGCTGTGTAAGCGGCTTCTTTTGATATATTTTGCTTATCAATTAATTTGGTAGTTCAAGTGTAATTCGTGATTAACTTTAAAAAATCAAAGTGACTCATTTTTGGGATAAAATTTCGGTTGAGATTTTTGCAAAACAAATTGCATCATAATAATTCTGGTAAAAACCTTAGCAAATTTTGACCTTTTCCTTTTTTTGTCAAAACTTAACCCAAATAGAGAAAAAATCTATTTGTAGTTTTCAGTGTTTTTCGTTTTGCCCGGTTAATTTAAATCAGCACTGTAGTAAAAAAAATGGGCTCTTTTTCCTTTCTCCCCCCCCCCCACCTCACATACGCATCAATTTTATGGTGTAACAAGGGGTTAACCTCGTTGGTCATGGCCTAATTAGTTCGCATGATAATTTTTGTAACATTCGGATGTGAACAAAATTTCACTAGTAAAATTTTGAAGGTGCGGGGACGAGGGAAGGAAAACAGCCAAAAAATGTTTTAATCGAAAATATTTAAATCAATTTCATGCGTACACTGAACAAAAAACGGTGAACGGTGTTTATGTTGGAAAGGCGCTCGCGTTACTATATTAATAGAGAAGGATCCTGGAATTTTTTTGACTCAAAAAAAATAAGTTGTTTACGGTTAAAGAAAGTCTAGTACCTCATAACAAGTCACTTCCATTTGCAAGCAAGTAAACCTCATATTTTCATGAAAACGTAACTTGAGAAAGTATCATTCGTAATTGGTTCATATTTCAATTGCAAATTGCAGACGAGCACGAACTAGGATTGGTAATATTATATTTAAAAATTAAATTGCAACAATTCTATTCTAGGTGACTATAGCAGTTGGTTATGATACGTCGCTGATTTCATCAGCCGTCATTTAGGCCAAAACCATTTTAGCGGCAATTGATTTTTCTTTGAGAAATAATAAGTGCAACACTGGCGATTTCAACTTTTTGGCCCAGATGGTTAATCTTTCTAGCAAGCAACAATTGCATGCATTGGGGTGCAAGCGTCCAGCGATTGCGTAGATCGAGTTGATTCCCGGTGGCGAAAACAACGTTTTGGTTTGAATTGCTCAGCAAACGATTATCACATCAAACGTCAGTTTTCATTTTACATCTAAATTTAACAAGTGAAAAAAAAACAGATTAGCACCGAATTATACTAGCAGTACCATGTTTGACATGCAATGCAAATAAAGAGTGAAATGATAAAATAAAATGCTTCTATCTGTTCGATTGGCATCGGAAAGTAAACACTTCCAGCTGAATTGACTAAAATTTGTTAGAATTGAAAATTAACTTTGGTACAGATATACTTATAGAAAAATTTGCAAGCGCCAATGAAAAGGGTAGCCTTTGACCTGTTATAGTTTTAGAGCAAACTCAAACTAAGTAGAGAAAAGCGCCGACAAAAAAACGAATTCCGTTGAATTCCAGACCATGTAAGGTAGGAAACTTCACTGATTTTTCCCGAATTTGTTGTATTTGTACATGTTAAGAAACTGAAAGACATTCGAATCTTTCGGAACTGTACAAGTCTAATAGCTGGGTCCCTGAACTATAGATCAATCCCTTACAGAAAATTCATGTGCCTTAAATCGTTGAAAACAGCTTCTGCATTTGTAATTTTTTGTGTTTTTCATTTGATTGGCTGGACCCATCTTTCATACTTGTACCCGGAACTGGCTTTTGTCACATTAATCTGTTAGAGCCATTGGAGCAATGATAACGTTGCATCCCTTTTTGACATGAAAGAGGACGTTTTCCTTGAGTAGCGATGTCTTTTCTTTCAGACTCGCTTTTTCCAGTAGCAGTTGTTCGTGTTTTCGCTTCAGCTCTTTGATTTGGTCCTCGAACGCCTGTATCTTCGCTATCTTCTTCTGTCGGCATTTTGTGGCCGCTATTCTATTTCTCAGCCTCTTCCTCTCCCTCTTCATACACTCCTGGTCTTCTAGATTTATCGATGACGTCAATGTAGATCCGTCACTGCCTCTTCCAGAAGAGAAACCAACCTACATGATCAAATTGCACAATTAATAACAAGCAAGTAGCACAGAAAGTTCCGACCGGTCTTAAAAACACAAAACTTTTCTTTCAAATTAGCTCGTTTTTTTTCTGCGTGGTATGATAAAAGGATCTTAACGAAAAATTAGAGCTTAGGTATTTTGCACAGTATTAGTAAAAAACGCAAATTACAAAACAATTTTTACAGAAAAATGACTAGAAAAACAAAAAAAATCAAATTTTTTTTATTTATTGTAGAATTTTTGATTCCAAAAATCGCCAAAATACTCAAAAAACTAACTTTCTTCGAGTAAAACTAAGTTTTTATGGCTTAAATTAGGCTAGTGTAAGCCATTAAAATAAGATATTGCAAGCTTATTTATTCGCTGGAATTAAGACGAAAAATCAAAAATTTTAAACCGTTTTTTCTCGACACTTTTTCAAAAAGTTTAATGCCGTTCGAATTGCGACTGAAAGGACTTTAATATGATATCTCACTCAACTCTCTCCGATGATTATTTGTGGTAGCTGATTTTGCGTGGAAACCAAAAAACTAAAACACACCTGAACACTAAGTGCCTCCCCATGGTCGGAGCAAAAAACTAAAGCACACCCGAATACAAATTTCGCCATATTTTTTAAATGGTCGGAACAAAAACATGCTGAAAACGCCACCCAGAAAAATTAAAAAAAAATTAATAAAAGAATAGACACAGAGGCGAAGCAGAGCTTTGCACCACTTGCAATACAATACAAACAAAGCATCTAAGCTAATGAGCATAAAATGAAGCAAAATAAAATTTCGAAAAAAAACTATATCCACCATATATTAACATTATCTTCCATAAGTTTCACATTGTCGTCGCAATTTGTCATGAATAAATATCGCTAAAAATATGTCAACAAGGACAAATGAAGCTTAAATACGCATCACAGCAAAGTTTTACGAAGTTTCACCTTAAAAACACTCAAGCAGACAGTCATTAAGCCGGACAAAATGTTTTCATCAATGAAAACTTGGAACTAGAAAACTAAATCCAAGTCCACCTCAACTAACACACACAAGCTTTAAAAATCATTAGCTCGCCGAACAGCGCAGAAAGTAAGTTGTAACAAATCGAGCTAGTAAAATTACAACCAACATAAAAATCAATTTGAATTACAGGCATTTTAAATGTACGCATTCATAAAATTTGTCTGTTAGCCGACAAGAATAAAAGTTTGTAGACGAAAACTAACTTAGCGCATCTCGTGAACAAAGTTATTTACGGGAAAAACTCTAGTATCTAGTTGCAATAAAATTGCTTATTGCAATGGTAATTAATACTGAGGTAAAGTAGAGATTCGCATCACATCTGTTACATCACAAACATGGCATGGCGAGCCAGCAGTTAGAAAATGAGATGAAACCAACCGAACCAAAAAAATCGCCAAATTAAAAAACCTTTCCACCAAAAAACGAAGAAAAAAAAACAAACACAAAATCGGAAAATAAAGTAAAACAGAGGCGAAGCTGCGCTTTGCAACCACTTGCGAGAACACCACCAAAAAGCAGCTCTATAAAGTGCAATAACAAAAAATAGAAATAAGCCTCGAATTAACAAAAACTCGGCTAGGTTTAGGATTTGATCTGCGTCTTACTACAATCAAGAGATTTTAAGTCTCGCGTACTATGCACTCAGCCACGCAAGCTTAACAATCGACAAAAACTAGTCATGATTAAAGCAGCTAAAGCTGCTAATAAATTGCCAATGCCATTCAGCAAAATTGGCACCAAATACAAATAGACTGAATTTTGCAAGTAATAATTTGGATCAAAACAAACTGAATGCATCCGCACTTATTTTCAAGAAATCGCAAAGCATTAAGCCACATTATGTATACATAACGAAATTCAAAAAATTACGAGATATATTGAGTTGGAAAATATCTGAAAGGTAATTTTCATTATTGAAACAAATCACTTCTTTCGGTTCGTTTGATGAATTAAAAAAGCATCAACTGTGTGAACTCATTACTAATCGAATGCCAAAGCCCATGCAATGTAAAAGATCTAGAGGTGCACTTACGATACAAAACAAACATAGCATGACAAACTAGCAGTTAAAGAATGAGAATAAAGCCGCTAATTTAAAAATGTTTTAGAATGTCGAAAAATTCTAGATCTACCAAAAATTTGGGAAAAAAAGCGGTTAAAAGCCGACAATTTTTGAGCAGACACCCGTTGAGCCCAAAAAAATTTTGGAGAGAAAAACTATTAAAAAAATAAGTTACCCCCTCAAAAGACTCACAGGCATAAGAAACTTGTTTCGCTCAACCAACGATGCTATCTGACTATATGCCCTTAATGCTCTTTAAATTTCAATAACAATTAATGCTTGACATTTTTGATGAAATCAAATCAATTTGAGAAAACTGGATCAATAGATGAACTTTGTAATCCGCCGAGAAATCTGAAAAATAAAACCAACTTTTGAAATTAGACATCGATCAACTTTTTCAGCACCTTTTTGGTTTCTTGGATGGAGAGCGCAATTTGTCTTCCTTTTAGCGAATGAAGTAGTAGTTTTGCAACTGTTTTTTCACGCACGAGGGAATTAATTCACTATAAGAGGGCCTCCCGGAACATAGTGAAATAATCTCATGAGGGTGTAAATAAACAGTTGCGAAAATGCTTCAGTCAAGGAAAAACTTGTGTTCATGTTTGTTTTTCATATGCTAAAACAGTTGTTCTCTCACTTTTAAACATGTTTTCAAACTACCTCTACAGCTAATTTGCGAACGTGCAAAAAGATTTTTTCCACGTCGATTGAAGGCGCGCTGCAGATCAAATAGTTTTGCTCATACAACAAATTTCACCCTGTCATGAATTGCTTATTAACGAGTTGACTAACTTGAGTTGAGCTCAAGATGTGTACATATAATTAAGTACGTTTATAAATGCATTAATATGTACGAAGTCACTTCTATAGTTAAAAGAGCCTTTTAAGACTATTCCCGGAGGAAAACATCACGACTTATGTCAGAGTCTTCACTGCGTTCAAAGACTCTTAAAAACTAATATTGACAGAGACGCTAAGCTGTGCTTCGCAAACACTAGCCATGTAACGACAAAAGCAGCTCAAAAAAGTTAAATCAGAAAAAAATCTAGGTAAGGCTCGATATAGTTAATTTTCGTTAAAAATCGTATTCGAAAGGCGACTGAGAGTCTCACGTTCTCGCATCCATGCCACTGATGATTGGCTAACACTAGCCACCAATGATGCAGCAATAGATCCGAATAAATTGCCAATGCCATGCAGCAAAATGCCACCAACTATAAGCGAATTAGTGCAAAGTGCAGCGTTGAAACCCAACCAGTAAATTATGAGTCTGACGTCCTTCCATATGTGCCTGAGTCGCTTATCAATTGGCAAACACTAGCCACAATAAAGCAGAGAACAGATGCTATGAAATTTCAATGCTACTGATCGTGATTATAGTAAAATGAACACTTTGATCTGCGAGTTGAATTGGAGAAAAAGTAGAACCATACTAACACAATACGCTTCCTAGTGTAAGAAGAACGAGTATTTGAAGCGCAAACATGCTTAAAATACATCTGTTGAATGACGAAAGTGCAGAGTTCAAAAAAACGATCAGCGGTTTTGTTGATTAAATTGAAGAACCAGTCTATGCTTCGATGTGATAACCCTTGCCTATCGCGAGCAAAATTATTACATACGTGAAAATTTCGTGCATATTAATGGGCTGACTTAAATTCCGTGCTGAAAAAACTCAATAACCTCCACCGAACTGCGCGTAAGAAATGGCATCCATAACTTAGAAAAAAATTAAACCTTCAACAAGAGTTCGTGTTGAGGCAAAATAAGTCGAAAAAATAAACAAACGGACGATAGTAAACATGCGAGCTGGCATGAGTCTACGAAATGTCGCTACTTCGAATTATTTTAAATTAGGTTTGATACGTATAGCTGAGGAAGGAAAGCTTAAGCTTAAATGAAAATGAAGGTGATGAAACTGAAGTTATGATTTAAGAAAAAATTGGGTGGATAAGAGTTTATGGTTCTGTTGCACGAGAAGTAGTTTGCTTTCAGTGTGTAGGTGGTCTATGGAGCTCATCTTTGTGAACTGTGTTCTGAATGAGTTTTATATGATCAGAGAGGACTTGCTTGCAACGTGGGACCAAACTGGACATGATTATTCGATTAGTGTTCTGATTAAGGCTTTGAGCGTCACAAGCATCATTACCTTTGATAGTCCTTAGTTTGTCCCGGAAAGAGTTTTCAGGACCGATATCCTGCGCGCGGCTTTCATGGCGTTTGTTTACAAAGCTCGTTTAACTATTTGTTGTGGGTGAAGTTCATTCGTTTTTTCTACAAACTTTACCCACAGATCAATATCAGCATGAGCTGACCAAAAAAACCCTTAAAATTGTCCCAAAACGTATATCAAAGAAACTTCTTGAAACCTAATCAACTTCACCATTGCGTGAATATATCAAAATGATTTTCAAAAATAAGGTAAATTGGCCAAACCATAAAATCAGCGCTGTGGTAACTAAGCCGACAAATATAAGCGGACGAACGATACACCGACGATTGTTTTTCATGCGAAAATTTTCAGTAAAAAAACAGATCCTCGCCGGATTTGAACCCTGGTACTTCGGAATGCTTGGACTCTACCTCCAGGCTTAACGTGCAGCACCATATCCAGAGTAGAAATGCATGAAGCAAGCTATCAAATGATTCTGCTAGACAAGTTATAGTTCTTTGTTTTAATAATTCTCCTACCTGTGTAGGCAGTGAATCGTCATCATCTCCTTCGTACTCGTCGTCTAGACTGTAGTCTGAGTTGTTATCATCCTGGTAGTCACTCTTCGAAAAAATTTGCGAGTGAGTCCTGCTTGAACTGCTCGCTGTAGAAATGTCCCTGCCAACAAAAGAGTTTTGATGAACGAAAAAGATACATTAATACATATTTTTCAGATTGTAAAGTTTAAGTTGAAATTTCAATTTACCTGAATTTTGCTGTGGCGGATAAGCTTTGAGCAGTCGTCGAGTGTACCCTGGGAGTGCTTCCCAGTAAAACTGTTGCTGCTAACTGGCTGTTCATATCCGAGCTTCTATCAACGCTCGATTGTGGCTGTGGATTTACTATTGCAACTGGATATGGTGATCCGAAAGCACTGTGCACGGAGTTCATCAAATCTGTGCTAGATACGTTCATCCTAGAGGCAGGTCTAACAACTGGAGTTGGATTTGCTGTGGTCGAAAACAAACTAGATACATTAGCTGCAGTCAGATTGGAGCTAGGTAAAATAATAGCAGACGTCGCTCCCGTCAAGGGAAGTTTGACTGTTTTGATAGAATTTATCGTTCGTAGCAATTCCGCTGCGGCAGAGGATGTGATTTGTAATCCACCTGCAGTTACACTGGGGTCACTCAACGGTAAACTAGTTGAGGGCTCTGTTCTGCTTTTCATGTTTGCCTCCATATTTTGTAACAACTCTTTGCAGAATTCTTCTTTATCGGAGGTTAGGCTTTTGCTGTTACTAACAAGCTGAGGCGGAGTTGACGCTGTCGACAAGCTAACAACGTTATTCATATTCAGAAACAGCTTTTCCATATCTGGAGTGGCAACACCAATTTTTTGCATGTCCTCAGCTGTTAATACGCAAGGAGTTAAAGCCAGTGGTTGCCCCAGAGGTGTGACAACACCGGTGATATTGACAGAGGGCAATTCGGGTAAAAATGATGGCGGAGTCTTTCGCTTTTCGCGTTGTAGATCAAGCGAAAACTTGCTTTTATCAATTTTGTCGCCCATGCCAGAACCCTACAATACAAGCAGTTTTAGCAGAGTCTAATATTCACATGTTAAATTTTGAGCAACTATTTCTTGTAATCAGCCGTAAAACTTTCAAGTCTTTCCCGTCCTAGACTGGAGGGCAGGGGGGTCTATTATGGAAAAACCCTAACTCATGTTGAGTACATTCTAAAAAATCTAACATAAAAAATACACTCATGTCGAGTATAATATAAAACAAGGATAGCCAGTTGCTGCGCAAGTAGCACAGAATGTTCCGACCATATTCATAAAAACTAATTAAAAGTTCTTCATATGGTACCATGATGGTCCCTCGAAAAACAACTATGATAGACGGGTCCCGCATGCATTTCGCATGTTATAAATTTGAAAACTAATTTTTGTATAAACTATTCATTTCAAAAATCTTGCAAAATATGTTCAGTCAGATTGCGTTTCTTACTAAACATATTTTGCAAGATTTTGGAAATGAATAGTTTATACACAAATTAGTTTTCAAATTTATAACATGCGAAATGCATTTCTTATATTAACTTTGAAAACTAATTTGTGAAAATATTATTAATTTCAAAAATTTCGCGAATTTAGTTGAGACAGAAAGTGTTCAGATTAAAAATTGTAATTACTATTAAATTTATATCAAGAAAAATGCTCGCTTCAACTTATATTTAGGTTCTGCCTATTTCAGTAACTTTATACGCGTGTGTATAATTTTTATCATCACCACGTACAAAAAACTACACTCATTTGAAGAACTTAATAACTTGAAGGGTTCTACTATGATAGAGTGGTCCCTTGAAAATAACCAGGTCCTTTGAGAATAAGATACCTAGCTCTCAAATCCTATAATGATTATGATTTCGTCGTTCAGAAAGATGTCGCAGTATTGTAACATTCGCCCGGTAGTACATATCGACAGAAAATAGAGCTAAGCTATAAAACGACTGGCCAGCGTCTAAACAGAGCTCTACATGCTTTTCACCGTCTCTACCAAAGCCAGTTCTTTTGGTGGTCTTTCTAATATCGGGTCGACAAAAACGTTACTGCTTTCGGCTTCGGTCAAAACATTCAGATTAACTTAGTTACATGCAGAAATAGTGAGCTCATGGCTGGGTCTGTATCCCCAGACCACGAGGTGACTCCTAAAATCTGGGCTACTACTACTGATTATATTACTATTGTTTTTATTCAGTAGATAAAAATCATCATTTCCATCGAAGATGGATCAACCCTTTCCCCCAACTCCTAGCTTCTCATCCTTGCAAAAGGAAATCAGATGTTAATTAAATTCAATTCAAGACATAACCATGAAGCTAAAAGTTTATATAAAAGAGGTTCAGTTCATCTCCTGAGACCCCTCCGGATTCCTGAATCCGGGGAAATAACGTTCTTATCTTCCTTCCGGAAGGCTGTCTTCTACCCTTCACCGTTGTTGCAAACGGTCTTGCAACTATTGTAGCGACACAATAGTTGCAACTCGGAGCGGTCTCTGCTAACTTTGCATTTTTGTAACATTCGCCCGGAAGATACATATCGACGGATAACAAAACTAAGTCTTAAGACGACTGGCTAGCGTCTAAACAGAGCTTTGCATGTTTTTCACCGTCTCTACCAAGCCAGTACTTTTCGGTGGTCTTTCTTACATCAGGCTGACAAAAACGTTACTGTTCTCCGGCTTCGACCAGAACGCTCAAATTAACTGAATTACATGCAAAATTAGTGAGCTCATGGCTGGGTCTCTGTATCCCCAGACCACGAGGTCATTCCTAAAAACAGGGCTACTACTTATTATATTACTATTGTTTTTGTTCAGTAGATAAAAATCATCATCTCCATCGAAGATGGATCAACCCTTTCCCCCAACTCCTAGCACCTCATCCTTGTCAAAACTAATTAAGATCTTAATTAAATTCAAGTCAGGACATGACGGATGCTAAAATTCAATATAAGTTCATAAAAGTCCACGTCCCGAGACCCTTCCGGATTCTTGAATCCGGTGAATCAAGCTTCTTAATATCCAGTTCACAATAACTCGGAAGGCTGGGTTTTACCCTTCACCGTTGCTCGCAACGGCCTTGCAACTATTGTAACAGCACAATAGTTGCAACTCGGAACGTCCTCTGCTGTTCGGTAGTTCGTTGTTGTTTTTTAGTCTCGATTTCGTACTGTTCGTAATCGCAGATAAAAGTTGTTCTGTTTCTTTCTGCTATTTTAGCTAAAATGGCCGTCTCTGACGTTTCTCAGAAATATGACGTCATAATTCGAATTTTTAAAAATTAGAATTCCAGAATCTTCTAGCCTTCACCGTTTGGTTAATCGTTCAAATAACGTCCTTATCCGTTCTAAATCGCCAATTCGGAAGGCTTGCTGCTAAAATACCGAATTCTGCAGAGACTGCATTTTGGCCATTCTGGTCGAATGTCACATACTCCCCGGACAGTCCGGTCAATGTCCTCTTTGAATCGCGCAATGTTCTAAATGGTTACAGTGTCATCGAACAGAATTTACAAAATGCACGAAATTACTTTTACCTACGTCACATCGACTCACTGCAGAATATAAATGGCATCATACTACATCACTATAGCCTTCAAATTCTTTCATTAATCTGCACATTGAGGATATGACTTAAGATAAAACATATTTTCTGACTTCCAGTGTCAATATCCCGATTGAAACTTTTTCTCCTAGATTTAAAAGGTGTTGGCTTGCAGGACAGTCCTGCCAACCAACAAGCTAAAATTATCCTACTATGCTCCTTCCCTTCGGAAATCTTGCTTGTTTATTGTCCTGAATATTAAAACTCCTCAAGAAGTTACTCCAGTTTTTCATGTCACCACAAAGTGATCAGTCTTCCTAAGTGATTAAAAACAATCATGCAGGCTGGAATATTTAAATATACTCTTCCCTCAAGCCTTTCTAAATAAATAATAAGTGAGTGTCTCTAAAGCCACTTCAACTAAAACCAAAATGCAAATTTATAAATGCAACAATTTCCAAACTCAACTTAAATGTTTCAGTTTTCAATTACAACTTGGTTGCTTGGTTTCTCACTTGAGTTTTTCACACACATAAAACAATTTTGAGTTTTAACTTTTCTTCATCATCCCTTTGTTCTCTTCTTTTTTCGTCGTTTAGAAGTTCTAAAACTTCTAAATTCTTCTAATTTTCTTTCTTGTTGCCTCTTGTTTTCTCGACCATTCATCAATGCTCCATTTCCTCCTCCTGTGACGCTGACTCTGCACTCTCGGTCTCCGTGTCTTGTAGCACGTCATTGACTATCCTGACGCTGTTGGAAGCCGTCCTCCAACACTTCTGCTCTTCCACCCTCTGTTTACAGCAAGGTAGGGGATCCACGTTTGATTCTCTGTTTCTACAGAAGCTGTTGTGGAGACACAACGCCACGTTTCTTTCCAAATCTTCTTTCAGCATCTCTGCCTTCTCATTTCCACTACGCTCGCTCGTCCTGGAAATTCTTTTCACAGCGGTGGTCACTGCATTCCGATGGGTCACGAAAGCTCGCTTGAAAGCTCCTGCCCCAATGTCCAGCTGATATTCACTGTACACTCTGCCATGTTTCGACATATGCTTTTTCGCATACTCGTACAACCATGCAGTCATGTTAGCTCTGAACCATGGCATCAATCGTTTTCTTGCCCATATCTTCTTCACTTCCATCGGAATGTTTAGAACTTTGCACATTGTCTCAAAAAGATCTAAATCTTTTAGACAATCTAATTTCTGCAATTGTTCTCTCGTCGGTGCCTCCTGTCTATTAGTTTCTCTCACATGGGCTTCCAGCCATCGTATCGCCATCATAACTCCCACTATCACTATTGTTATGGGCTGTGATGAATCTGGTAAACCCATGGAGAGCAGCTCTCCAGAGTCCCAGATCAACACCAGATTACTACGCTTGGGATACCACCAGGTCTGCAGCAAGCAGTGGCAAGGAAACTCGTCATGTGTCAACATGATGCTCCTCCAATTCCGTTTTCCCGAAGCTTCCAGCAATGGCTCCACTTCCATCATCACTCGGTGGATCTCATCATTCTCATCTACTGCATTGTAATCTGTGACAGTTGATCCTCTCTGTTTCTGTTTTTCAAAGTCACTGAAGTTCCCGCTCACATATCCCATGAACTTCTTTCCTAGTATTGACTCCAACTCCTCTTTGGTTCTTTCTGGAACTGCTGAGAACATCTTACACAGTAACTCGTAAGACTTTTCAGACATCCTCGCTAACCTCACACACTTCGGCACTGAGAAGGCTTGATCCACAATCGTTCTTGTACTCTTCACGTCCACAGCTACGAAATGTACAGGATATCTGCTCTTGCACATTGGAGCCAACGTTGAACCCACCAAATATCGTGCTCCTGATGGTCTACAATAAGTTTCACTGTGTCTGATGTTCATCTCCGTTTCGATTGCTTCCCTCCATTTTCCTATATACTTCTGCTCAGTCTGCAGAACTCCTGGGAATACCTCTACGCTGATGGCTGTGACCATCTCATGTTTCTGTTCTAGATTCAATAGTGACTCTAAAGAACCAAACATGCTGTAGAATCCTAGTGCTGTCACTAGATTCACATCGGTTCCTCCATGGCAATCTGCTATCAGTTCCGTTTCCGTTCTTGCTTTCATCACTACATTTCCAAACAATACCGTCAACTGCTTGTGTTGTTTCTCCAGGGTTTTCACACAGTCTAGACTTCCACAAACGTGACCCTCTAGTCCACAGACTTCCGCCAGACAGCTACCAGGTTTGACCCAGTCTTCTGGTCCCCAGCCAGGCAACTCCACTCCATCTTCTCCGTTGCTCTTAGAGGCTGTTGTCATCACATTATATATGATGTTGAGGTCACGCAGGTTACAGTCCACATTCAGTTCCCTCTGTATGTCCTGTGTCGCCCGTAATATTGAGTCAGCGTTGGGACTAGGACACCACGATGGCTTCATCAATTCCCACACTGCCATCAAGCTCGTTCTCAGTAATTCATCTGAGAATCCCAACCTAAATTCCACTCTCTTGTCGGA